AACAACTTTTTTTTTTTCTTTCGGTCTACCTGCTTTAATTTGAGCTCGATTAAATTAATATCCAATCGACTTCATTATGGGTCAATTTCCAGAAAGGAATTTGCATAAATTTAGCATGGATTGGTCGAAATTTTGAATGGAGAATATAATATAAAAAGGCCAAGTTGTAGACAACTATTATAGGTGAAAGATATTTATTGCCTATTTTTATGCAGTTTCTGGCACGAGAACGAGCTGATGCGCCTACCTGCATCGTATAAAGTAAACCTTCTTAGAAATGCGGGGTACTGGTATAATAGAAGGAGGTACTTCCTAAAATTCACAATATCGCTATTCTTCGAAAAAAAAAATACGAACGGCTTTTTACAAAGGAAGGATAGAGAAAATTGATCCAAGTGTATCTATAAAAAAATAGAATGGGATCTTATCTTTCGTACCGGCTATATACCGGTTAATCCTTCCAGTATAATTTTTTTATGACGAAAAAGTGCAATCATATAATAGTAGTTATTAAAACTGTATTTGTTGCGATTTTACCGAAGCCCAATAATTTTTAAAACATTAAGTATACTATAGGTGAATTATACCCCAATTTCATATTTTAGCTTCTATTTAACGATTTCGAAATGTATCAATAATTACAATGGTAAAATGTAAAATTTGATTTTAATGGCCGAAATTTCTCCAGGGAAGTTCGCATCCTACTTTGAAATTTTTTGTACTGTTGTGAAACGTTAACCGCATAAAAGAGAACGAACAAATGATTTTTTAAAAAAAATTGTTAATTAAATCTTTTCAAGGTTCGATGTATTGTTATGAATGAATTGTACGTACACCGTTCGGTTGTTTACTATAGGTTTATTTTCAAAATAAATCCTTGCATATCATTACAAAACATGCAATTAACTTCAAATATTTAATTTTGCTGCGGTTTACTACGAAATGCAGCTTCGAAGCGAGTCATAAATTCGCCGTTTCTGATTTTGCTCTATTTGTTTAAACACAACCAAGATTGTGTTTTCGAAGGAATTTAAATTGGACTATTACTCTATTTCTTGTTTCTTAATAATGAAAAAATATTTTTTAGAATTGCGCCGCATAAAATAATAAATGCGTTCGAAGTTTAATTTTTTAATTTTGCATTGGATCGGCCCTGCATTTTTAACGAGACAAATTCATCAACTAATGGGCGCAGACTAATTTTCTATAGTTTTAATTTAAACGTTAAATTATGTGGTTGAAACGGCGTCGGCGTCGGCGTCGTTGCTGCATATATACCCGTCTGTTCTACGACTAATGTTGTAGTGGGTATAAATAGTACACCGGGTTATAATGAAAGGCGTAATCACCCGATTTATTTTAGTCTTAACCCAAATATCGTTCTATTTCGAAAGTGGGAAAGTTTTCTAATGTTTCCTGGACCATGGGAGACATTAAGAAATAACGCTATTTTGAAACTTTATAAACGGGTTACCTCGATAACGAACAAGTCTGCTGAAAATGTACGAGATGCATATGTTAAATTATATTTACTTGTTGCATACATTGTAGAAAATGCATAGTTTTAGTTTTCTGTATATTTGTTTTCGTTAGACCAATTTCTAATTTTACACTAAATTGTAAGAGGCGTATAATAGAAGAGGTAGGGTATTGGTAGGTGGTTATTAATTCGAATAAAAGAAGGTGAACAGACAGATCTAACTTTCTATATGCATCGCATGTACCCACTCGTAGAAGGTATACGCGATACACATTGTTCAAAATCTCGAAATATACTTTCCTTTCATAATTTAAACTAGGCATTGAACGAAAGGTCCCAAAGTATTGCTTTGCAACAGGTAAATTTAACTGTACTGCAGAAATGAACCTATTGTTAAAGAAACCGCCGAAGGTCTGCGTGTACCTACTTTTGTTGCGATCTTCTCGGAAAAAAAAAGTTTGAAAAGCCGGTCGCAACATTATCGGTTATTCCACACTTTCTCAACAGTTCTGTAAACAAATTTTATCTTCTAGTTTCCACATTATCTGTGCCCAACCATGTATTTTTGTTAAGCACAAACTTTGTTATCACGGATTTATCAACTTCTTAAAACATAAAAAAATACTCGGTGGAATTTTTTTTTTGATAGGTGTTGCCCTTCGTGCACTTGAGTAAATAAAAATGTTTTAATAGTTTATTGAGTAATCGAAGCGGCAATTATTTATCGAGTTATATAATGACAAATTCTTAGAATGATATATTTACTTAATTTTGGTTTTTCATATAATTTCCACAAAAAACACAGTAGTAAGTGAGGAATATTTAAATAATTTTGAATTATAATTTTAGTAACAACCAACGCATGCTAAAGGGCTATTTTTGTGTAAGAATTTTTTTGACTTAACTCGTGATGATTATATTAAATTTAAATCATGTCTCGTGAGTAGGTATTGCTGAATTTTCTCCGAAACTTAGGCTTCGATTTGTAGGTTCAAATTGCCTATATAGATGGACATAAGTAGTACACAATATTTCTTAAATGGATTACTTAATCATTTCGAATAAACAATCATCTCTACTATCAAATTTTTGAATCAATTGCTTCATTAAATTTACGTTTAAATAGAAAAGATTTTCAATAATTTAACATTGGCATTTCGCCTTGGTTTCGGTCCAGCTGGATGCCCGGATCGTGCGCGTTGTGTAATAAAATAGCGCGAACGACGCATGCCGTGAACCGGCTCGGCTAGACGCCGAAACCCGTCGCGATGCCCAGTAACCTTGGCAGGGATAACCGCCAAAGGTCATCCCCTGTTCCTCCTCTCTCCCGATTTCTGTCTGTTTCGGAAAAGGGACCGCCGACGCGCCTAACAAAGGATTCGCAATGGGACGAACCGTCGCAAGTTCAACGACGCACTTTTTCAAACCCATTCGCGTGTTTTTCTAACGCGCGTTTCGGCCGGATTTATTTATTATGCGACCTTTAAAATCGTATGCATGAATTTAACGTGTGAATGGTCGTTTCGCAATTACAAAGGAAAGTGCATTGTTGATTTTTTTTCGTTGGGTTTTGCGCGGCTTTGTCGGGAATTGCGCCGAGCTATATCGTGAAATCGATAAACATTTAATTTCATTTCGAAAATCGATTGGTGAATTATGCATCGCATATAGGTAGGGTCGTTTGGTTGTAAAGTTTAAGAGTAGGTATAAAAGGAATTTGAAAAAGAGATCATCCGGAAACGGCCACCCTCTCCGAGATATCGCCGAAAACGTCATCTCGTAATTGACCTCGTTTGTTGCTCTTGATCGCCTTACCGATAAAGCTTAATTGGTTTCTAAGATAATCAGTCCTCACATGGAGGAATGCCGCTTAAACTGGAACCGCCAACAACTCGCCTTTCACATTCCATCATGGTAACGGACCTTTTTTTCTTTCTCGCAGACTTGATTGTTGGCAAAAAGTTTTCGGTATTTCGTCCCTCCAGCTCACGAAGCCACTCGTTCGCTGCAGAATTTATTGTGTAATATGCGCGCCTCGGAAAGGTAGCCTGTTATTAAAATGGTTCGTTCGATTGCTCGGCCACTCGAAAAAATTTAACTGGCGGAAATTAAATTTGCGACGGTTTTTTTCTCGCAAGATAAGTTTTATCTCTAATTATCGGCGCCGACTTTTCCAAATTTTTTTTTTTCGAGTGCGCTCGAAATGCGAATTTCGATTGCGTAGACGACGAGGTCCTATAAATTAGCAAGTTTCGTCTATTACATCTCGCTTTCGACGAGCAAATTAATTATTTTATCGAACGTCTGGGTCAGGTTTTCGGTCTAATAGATTGTCTAATAATTTTATTCTACGCGCTTTGTTGAAACACTACGACGTTTCTTTTGTTATGAATTATGAACATCGGTTTGTACAACTAAAATATTATTTGAGTTGTGCAATAAATTCTGGTCTACTTATAGATTATTTTTATTATGATGGACAACAAGGCATAGGTTGTACGTGCAAAAAAACGATGTACATACTATACATCGTTAAACGAGTTAATTCAACAAAATATTTAATTGCAAGCGATAGAACAGTTTATGATTAAGTGTGCACTTAATAATTAGTTAAGCTTTCAGTTTATTGACTTTTAAAAATGCGGGCAATAACGTTAACGGCTGGTAACTGCGAATGCCAAAACGTCTTCGTTATGTAGTGTACGAGTTAGGCAAGTTTCCAACAAATACACTCGCATATTCTCTTCTAGAAAACCAATTAGTATTTGTTTAGCGAATCCGAACGTAATGGACTTTTCCCAACAAAAAAATAATCGTTATTTTCGTAGCATGTTCGAAATGTACGTTTTCTTTATTTAATAATTAACGAAGCGGAGCCACTGCTTCTTCTTTTCTATTACTTGGGGTTGTTATAGGGGCACTTTACGTTTCTATTTATTAATAATTTATACAGGGTGAATCATAACGGGCGTGACTAACTTTCAGGTAGTGTAATAAAAATAAACACGTGTCCAGAAATAGTCCCCTTCCGGAGCTGTAACACCCCAAAAGTTATCGCTCTTGACTAGGATCACAAATTTTTAATTGAATACAATTAAAAAAGAATTGAAATCGTTGGGTAAAGGAACTTAATAAATTCGTATTCATCAATAGAATACATTTATTTTTTTTGGAAACATACTCACATACCAAGTAGTTTAAACGTCATTGCATTCGAACTAAGTAAAAATTGTTATTTTTAAAAAGCTATGGGCGTTCATTGAACTTCTAGGAATGAAAATAAAACAGGTTTTATTCCTGCACTATTGGGAAACATCTATTGTTAACGTAGATTTTTTTTCTATTAACGAAGTAAATTTCGAGCAATTTAGCTTCGCTATGGTCGATATACGCTTGTTTGGCATTCATTTTATCGAAACTCTCATCCAGCTAATTTTGGGAACTAGGAATCGTTGTTAAATCCCGTAGTTGCCTCTATTTTTACCTAATACTAAACCGTCTTCGATGTCTCGTTTTGCAGAAGAAGAAATCGACGTGGTGAACGTGAACGAGAAGTACCACTTCTGCAACAAAAACGTGTTCTCGTTCCCCAACAATCCATCGAACAGGGACCGCCAGCAGATCCAGAGGCGGATGGCCACGGCCATATCTCGAAAGAAGATGGTGCCGCGCATGAAACCGGCCGCCGCGGCCAGGAAGATCGTCCAGGAACCCACCACGGCGGCGGCGGCGGCGAAGAAGTCGCCGACGGAGTCGCGCGGCCTCAAGCGCAGACAGTACAAAGCGTCGCTGCAGGCGCCCTACAAGCGTCGGCACTACGGCAACAGCAGCGACAGCGAGCCCGAGCCGTCCGAGAAGCGCAGCCTGCACAACAACATGGAGCGCCAGCGGCGGATCGATCTGCGCAACGCCTTCGAGGACCTGCGGGTCCTGGTGCCGGAGGTGAGCAAGAAAGACAGGGCCGCCAAGGTGGTGATCCTGCGCGAGGCGTCGCAGTACTGCGAGTACCTCACGCAGACGTCCGTCAACTACACGGCGCACCTCAAGGAGCTGAAGAAGCAGCAGGAGTTTCTGAGGCGGCGGGTGTCGCAGTTGAGGAGGAATTTAGCGGCGAACCGTTAAGTATGTAGTAATGTTTATTTAAATTTTCAGTAGTAGTATTTTTTTTTTCAAATATCGCCGAGTCGTAAAAGAATGGAATTTGGCTTGGTTTTTTTTTCTTCGAGTTCGTTTTATATCGATTCCGCGTGATTATTTTTTAAAACTTATACTTTTTTTTACAAAATATGACTCAGGGATAATCAATAAATAGTAATTTTACGTATAGGTTACGATTTAAATAAACACCGTATGTGAAGTTAGGAAATTAGGAGGTAGCCAATTAAAACATCTAGAATAGTAAATAATGTAAATCTATAAAGAACTTAGCCTATGGTTTTGCGATTTTCTATTTAGGATCTTATAGGATTGTCGCAGAATCAAACCTTAAATGTAATATAGGTATTTTAATTAAATGGCTTTAGAAATCAGCGGTAAGACGCTACGTTAATATTAAGAAATAACGTATATAAATTATAATAACGTAACATTTTGGTCAAAAAATTTCTCCTAGCCGAATCGGTAAGTAAGCGTTTAAACAATTCCTTTATGTTACATTGCGTTGTTTTTTTTTTGATTTTCGAAGAATTCTATCAGGTAAAATCAACTGCCATTTTTTAAGAAAACCATTACCGTGGAATCCCTATAAATCCTGCGAAAAATTTCATTCTTTTATGCAATTCTGTAAATATGAGATTTATAAAAACATCCATAGCTGAATTTTTAAACCGTTAATGCAACTGTGATTCCATTATCATCTTAAGAATTAGAATAGTAGTTCATTTTATTTGTTATTGTTTTGTAAGAATTCAACTTGTTTTTTTTTTAGTTAAGACACGTTCAAATACTTATAATGTTTTAATTTTTATTTGGTGATAAAATTTATTGTGATAACCACTAATGCTTTTCCTCCTTTTAAGTTTAAAATAATCGAAGTAATTTTCTTTTTAGAAATTTTGAATAGTTTTAATTTTTCCTTTTTTTTACTTGCAAAATAAAACATTACAAAGTATTTGAGAAGCAATAATAGGTTCATTTTAAGTATAATTGTTTTAGGTGTTTTTTTTTGTATATGTTTTGTTGAAATAGGTTTAATTTTAACGTGTAAATTAATAATTTTTTGTCAGAGTTTTATCTGACTTTTCTTTATAAAGGGCGAAAATGAATTGCAAATTAATTTACTTTAATTTGAAGGGATTTACAGGGTAATCCATGAAAGATTGACGACGGGAGAATGCGTTTAAAATAAACTAACGTTACTTTCTCAAATATTTTTCAGATTACCTGAAAAAGACATAAAATTTCAAGATTAAATAGATTCGTAAATTAGCAAGCGCACGTAAAAAAAACTAAAATTTTAACCTTCGCATATTAATAGCTAAGAATATATTTGAATAAAAAAAATATTAGGATTAGGGAACTAATATTAACATTAATATGCCATTTTTTCGGTCAATATATCCTTTGATGATCGTCTGGTAATTTTGGAAATATTTGCAGGAAGTCCGTCTTCTATTCTTAAAATAATACATTTGTCAACGCGAATAACATGGATTACAATGTATACGTAGGAATAATTGTTGGAACTTCAGATGTAAAAAAAATGTCGAACGGAAATTTCAAGTCCACACATTTAAAACTTGGTTTAAATTTGCATAAAATTGTATTATGTAATCACACCGTGGCACGAGTTGTATATTAAGAATTTTTGGTTCTAAATCATTCATTCTTTTCACTTCAGTAATTTTACCAAATTTTTGAAGTGCTCTTGAATAAAATCATTTTATCTGTAAATTGTAGGAATTACAGATTATTACGAATAATATAATCCTAATCGATTTATTTTAACATGTTTTAATGTATAAAAATTATATTATTCGAATGAAATGAATATTTACGCTTTTTAATAATAATAATAATTGTGTTATGTAAATTTGTATGATAATAAGCGAAGGTGTAAAAATATTTTTCACATTTTACTTTTTTTTTAATATTTTAAGTGCTTACTTTATATTGTTAGTTATTTTTTATATTTATAATGTTAACTAATTTTGGTGTGTTTTTGTTCTTGAGGCGTTTTGTTAAAAATTTTGTATCGTTTTATTTGTAACGTTTGTTCATGTTTGCCATTTTGAGTGGAAGTATTGGACTCTTAATAACTAAAAAAAGCAATGTAATGGTATCTCATCCTAGTTCGGTAATCGCTCATATAATTAGAAATAAACATCTGCAAATAGATGAACATAAAACGATATCCCTTTGATAAGATATTTGATACAGCCGATGATTTTACATAGATAACTTACTAGTACTCATATAAAATTTTTCTACAGTACAAGCAGCTGGTGGGTAGTTTTTAAAATCAGATATCGATCTCGATTTTGTGGATATTAATTTCGGATAAAAGGGATCGAAAAAGGCCGAGAGCCATTACATTGAATGAAGCGAATATGTTATGAATGCTCCTTTCTAATAATACGGAATTTGTGTGTTTACGTCTTAAGATAAAAGTTCAGAAACATCAATTAATTGTTAAGCAGAAAATTTCCAATGTGTATTGCATAGAAAGTTTTGAAGTGTATCCAATTTGTAATGTCGATTTACATCCTTAATGTTTGCATTGAAAAACAATCGTTATTTGGAGTGCCAAATATACTACACTATTTTCGTTGATTCAAAATGCTCAATGTGTTGATATGTTTTGTTATTGTAGTGGTGTTTTCTTTAATTAATTTTAATACTTACTATACGGTTTTTCTTTTTCTTTGAAAATATGTATAAAATTCGTCTTCCTCTGCATAGACTATGTTATGAATAAAATGCGGGTAAAAACTGAAAACCGGAGAGATGATTTGCGAAGTGCCCGAGCGCACACCAATTGAACTATTTAGTTTGTACCGATTTCGGCATTTTCCCGTAAAATCAATACTATTTAACTGTAAAAGTCGTGAGATAAAGAGAATTGTTGTGTTCATAATATTCTACAGTATTTTATACTTTTGATAAAAAATATTTTAAAAAACATAAAAATAATAAAAAAAATAAAAAACAAAAAAATATATCAGTAAACTGTCGATAAAAATGGCCTACAAATATTCTGAATCTTGCATGATGTATTTATATATTAATTTTTATATATTATCTATTTTTTTTCAAGCATTCGTAATTTTTCTAAGTGGAATTTAAACGTTTAGCGTTTAAATCTCGCTATTATTAAGTAAATTGCAGATGCCAATATTTTTCATCAATTCAATCAATAAAATCGTCATGAAGATATAACATTAATTTACATCATGCAAGAATAAGAACATAAATATACGCTGATAAAACGTACCTGTGATGAAACCTCGCTGTTGACCAAATATGTATATTAGAAAATAGTATGAATAAATGCTAACTACTTATTATGCACATTATTTGACAAATCTTTTAGTAGTAAATATATAACAGGGCAATTCTCTACGCTTAGCGACCACCAGCGACGCCATTGCAAAATGGCTTTGCTAAAAAGCATAATGTCTTATATATTACATAATAATATATAATTTAATCTATAACATGAGCCCTAAGGATGTATGGCATGATTTTTAGCATAGGCGTAATTTTATGAATATATACCTATCTATATTGAGTTTTAAATAATAATAGTAATGCCATAATCCTAACAATCGTTAGTACTTATTTAATTTGTTAATATCTAATTTTTAACATTTTTTTTTGGTAACTTTATTCAGAATTTGATTGTGGTATTAGTTTTCCGTAAGTTTTACAAAATAAAATGTTGGCTTTAAATATTTGTGTTGTTATTTATTCACCAGATTGAGCATCTTTTTTTCTCTTCGCAGCCATCTCCCTTTTATGCCTATTGGAATTAATATGCGTAGTCCATTGGAAGTCTCCAATGAACACCCTATTACATATATCGCAATGATTCGTTGTACTATCTATATTTGGCGCTGAATTGGTAATTTGTTTTGGCAACGGATTGTGAGGGCACTTGGAATTTGATATGAAACTATTCACAATTTCTTCCGCTATTCTACTTACATTCTGGTCCCATTTAGAAACGTCCGATGTATCTAGCCCAAAAACCGGAGGTACCTAAAATTTATACAATAAATAGTCTTATTGAGCATGAAAAAATAGTAATAATACCTTTCTATCCTGCCTGCCGAGGAACCTATTTCTTATCCATTTCTTCTGCTTCCTGGCGTATCTTCTAGTAACCATTTTGAGCTGTTCGATTCCTTCGTTTAGCGCTTTCTCTCCATCATCGGTTCGCCTATCCTCTTCGCTCATCATCAAGTAGGAATGAAATTCTTTGAATCCAATCGATTGGAAAATCCCTTTCGTATAGTCAGGTGTTCTGAATTTATAAATAAAAGCTCTTCATACAAAAGATTCGTTGTGATAAATTGAAACTTACTCGTTTTGGAATGTACGATGGAAATCTAGTAGTTCCTGTAACAAACCTTGCTCTATCATGGAATTGACGCGGTCGTCTAAACGCTTGTCTAATATATCCTAAAAATATTAAAGGTTTAATTATTTTTAATTGTTTATTGCAATTTTTAAACCTGATCGCATTGCAGCCACAAAACTAGGGAATGTGGAAACCTCAAACCTCCACCTGACTTGGAGGCGTCCTTAGCAGAAATTTGCTCCTGCAATATTTCACTGTGCTTTTTCCCCTTTTTATATAAAATTTCCAAAGATCTGCAACAACCGAAGTAAGTAACTATTCAATTAACAGCCTACTAATTACCTTAGAATTTTTCTCTTGTTGTTAGGATGCAATCGTCTTGCTGTAACAGGATCTAGTTCCTTTAGTTTTTTATGTAATTCCTCACTGGGCAGTTCGTGATCGTTGTTAGGTAATATTCCCGGAGTGCTCGTATAGTTGTCATCATCGATTAATATTTTCCATAGGAGTGATTCGATGTAGTAGTTTGTCCCTCCGACTATAACAGGGAGTTTGTGGTTGTTGTAAAGATTATCGATAATTCGTAGAGCTCGGGTTTTGTATTGGGCCACGGTGAACATCTCGGAGGGTTCTAAAACGTCGATTAAATGGTGTGGCGCTACGGACTGTTCTTGTTTAGTGGCTTTGGCGGTGATAATATCAAGTCCTTTGTACACCTGAATTTTATAAATGTTTTTAGGCAATTAAATGTATAAAATTCAGTTGGTGTGTCATAAAGAAAAGTTGCAAGTTACCTGCATCGAATCCGCTCCTATGATTTCTCCATTAAATTTCTTCGCTAATTCGAGGGATAATTTAGTTTTTCCCGCACCTGTTGCACCTAAAATAACTACTAATGGTAGTTTGGAATTCATATTAAAAGTTTTATAAATTCACATGAAAGGATTCAAAAATTCTTAGGTTATGAAAAATGTCAAGTCAATGTTGTCATTTGTCACACTTCTTTTTTTGTTTTAATCATGTGTCCTCTAACTATAGTACCATGCAACTACTCTTTGAAGTTGCAAAACATAGAGAAAGAAAGATGTCTTTTATTTTGTCTATGTTGCAAAATCAATCAAAATTAACAGTTTACATTTATTATACATTCTCTAAGAACATTGTTAATACAGTAATTGACAAAACTGCAATAACATTAATTTCGACAACTACATTTAGATTTTTTTGTACGCCAAGTAAATATTTCTCAACATTCAGAAACAATTAAGGCAAGGGAATTATGATAATTGATAACAGGCATTTGTTTCAATCTAAATATTCGCTAGTGGTGATACAACTTGCCCATACGTAGTCTTCACAACATACATTATTATTTGTAAGGTAATTCGAATTTTTTTGATTTTAGCCATCGCTAAATATTATTGTCATTTTTATATATTTTTTTCTAAGTTAAGCATTTTTCTACGAAAATAATTTTTCTAAAGGGTAGGTATGTTATTCTAGTCCCAAGAATGAGTTAAATAAATCATTATTTACTTATCCTTAAGGATTTTAAAGTTAGGAAAAAGTTTTAGTTTATTATCGTGGAAAAATGCTAAACCCACTAATAAAAGTATCATAAATAACCAATATTTGACGGAATATTCAAAAATGACATAAAACAAAAATTCAGAAGGTAACTTTTGCCTTAAATTTTGAGGCACTTTCAGGAATTTTTCAAAATATAATTTATACCCGCTTTTCCTTGATATTAAATAGATAATACGTCTGTAGAATCGCCACAATTTTAAAAAATTCCTGAACGTCGTTTTTCTTTTTAATAGAAATTGCCAGTTTTTACATAATTATGTACTTCTTAAAATATTCTCTTCAAAATTCGAAAACCTAACGCATCTCCTCGTATATTTATAAAGAATTTAAAATTATTGCTTCAGTATAATTTTTGGAATAGAATGTTGCATAATGTAAATACTGGCAATTTTTACTTAATACTAAAAGGTTACATAATCGATCTGGCAATGAAATTGATATATGATGATACAAAACAGAACAATTACAATAAGTTAATGTACAATTGCAAACAATTTGTATTGAGATTGTAGTTTTAAATACGAATTTAATAAAATTAGGTATAACTTGATCTCTTTTCAAATTTCTCATATACTTATACAATTTTTAAACGAGTATTATTTTCTCCTTCTACAAGCATCCAACAATATTCCTATATAAATTATTCAAAAATATTTTTCATCAACAAGAATTATTCTTAAATAGATTGTTTCCTATTATAAAACAAACAACAAAATTGATCAACAACTATAAAAAAACCTATATGTATAATGTATACGCTTAAACTAATATAAATAAAATAAGGAGTTATTACTTAAAAATTGCTTAAAAAAATAAATCTTTCTACTTAATTTAAACTCTCTTGTAGCCCAACAGAGTTTCCGCCACTCCCAAGTAGTAAACAGTTTGAGCTATCCCAAACAGCGGCGCTATAACAATCATTCGACAAGCACCACCTTTGAAGAACGCTGTAGGACCTTCGTACTTCAAGATACTCCTAAAAATACAAACGCATTATTAAATAATTAGATATTACTACACCCGGATATATAAATGTTTTGCACAGTAGGCCTAACAGGCCTTCGAGTACTTACATAAAAGCGTTTCCTATACCGGTGTAGGATCTCTCGCCTTCTGCTTTAGTAATAGCCTGCAATCTAGTCTTAACCACATCGAAAGGATTCACAGATAGCGCTGCCAGCGAACCGGCCGCGCAGCCCGATAAGAAAGAGCACCAAAACACAGCTTCTCCTATAAAATACAACAAATTTTAAAGGCGTTGAAAGGCCGAGAGTATTCTAAAAACAAGTTACCTGATCCGTCGCTTTTTCTCGGTCCTAAATCGTTCAGAGTGGCGAATAATGGAAAGTATATCACAGAAAATGAAACGTCTCTCAACATGGTAGCGCCGGTTCCTTTGTACAATCCGAGGATACCGTGTTTCCGGACCAAACCCAAAGCTAGTTCCGTGGCGGATGTTTTCGGAACGGTTTTTCCAACTAAAAATTCCGCAGCGATTAACCACGATTATATCGATGGGGAAGCTTTACCTAGAAGAGCCTGGGCGGCCACCCTTCCTGCGTCCTGCATCTGTATCTTCAACAGCTCCATGGGAGTTGTGACGATGATCTGACAGAGGCCGGCTAGTCCACCGGCGCACATCTGTCGAAATACTGGAAGCGTCCTGAAAATAATCGAGAATAAATTATTCGGTATAATTTATAGGCGATTTCCTTGTACTAACTTTTCTTTGGTTTGTAAGTGGTATCTAAAGAAATCGTTAGCAGCTAATTTTATGGCCTTCTCCGGGGTTATCAGAAGAATATTCACGGCTGATCCTCTGTACATGCCGGAAAACCCTTCGCTCCTGTAAGTTTTCCGGAACGCATCGACCCTGCGATGAACAAAACACCAATTAAAACAACTCCATTAGGACATGTTTTATATTTTTTCGTGATTTATACTGTGAACTTGGTAATTTTATGATCTGTAAAACTAGCACGGAGGCGCGGTAAAAAATAGATTTATGCGGTTTAATATTGATTCAGTCGATGTTAAAACTTACATGCTATTGTACATTCGTTCGCCATTAGGTCCGATTTGTTGGTTTTGCAGTCGGGTTTTCACGAGATCCAGCGGAAAAACGCAAGTAACACCAATGATACCGGCGATTCCTCCATTGACTATTTTTGGTACTAATCTTGAAGGAAAATGTTATAATATAATTCAATCTTTTAGGATTTTGTAACTTACGAAAATTGGGTTTGTTTTTCAGCCATAGGAGGATTAGGCAACTGGTCCGGTTTTTCTGAGCAACAAAAACAAATTATCAAACTAAAGTTGCATCGATTTATCTTTTATTAAAGTATGTATGATAACAAAATCAATACTTATACATAATCAGGTAGTTACAATGGATCATATTAAAATAGATAATAACAATCAATGTTTCGCATTGTTTTGTTTATACAACAATAGATACAGCAGGAATACCTGAAGCATTTAAAAATGATAATAAAAATTGAAATCTTTAAATTATAAAATAATATATTAGAGAGAGCAAAAGTAGCTTTTCACGTAGGTAAAGTTCACCAGTCTTACTATAAGTTATGAGTAAAATTTATTTTTTAATCTAAAAATAGGTACAACTGTTCACATATACATTACATAGAACAGTCTGTATACATTTTATGTAAAGTAAACCAAAAAAATATATATAAAACGATTAAAAAATGGGTTAGAAACACAATCAAATCGACAATGCAACAATAAAAACCAGACAGAGCAAACTTAACTGATAAAGATAACTCCAATAACGAGCCAATAAAAATAAAATGTTATTAATAATATTTTGATATCGAATCAATTCTATGGCAAACTGATTGGTTAAGGTCATTTTCATTCTAATAAAAACCGTGTTTAATTCGTGTACAGAAATTATGTATATTCCTATAGGTAACACTTCTAGGAATACCCCTTTATTAGAAGAATTTGGTTATTGGCATTCCTTTTGCAAATTAGAAATTATCCAATTAACTGTTATCGTTAATATATTATCATCTAACAGAAAACGGAAAATTTATTAATCCATATTATAATTATAAAAAATTTTGATACTCAAAGTAATTATAACTAGTTTATATAATTCTGTAACAATTAATTTTATTTAGATGTCAATTTGGAAACCTTTTAGTGCTAATTTCCTGTGACAATATAACTATTATACTTACAAATTTAGTTAATTATAATACTCGACGATATAGTAAAAACTTCCGCTTATTTTTTTATAAAAACGAAAAGTTCAGGCAAAATTATAACAGCAAATATACGTAACATATGTGTAGTTATTTCAAAATCAGAATTTTAGACAAAATGAAACGCTAAATTAAAATTTAATAAATAAAATTATTATACAATATTCACAAAAAATAGTAAGGCGGATAAAATTAAAAATATTCTTTTTACCTCATCAGAGGTGTATTATATAAATCAGTTTATTTTTAGAAAATACCTGGGGCTAATTGGACTGAGTAGAGAAAATTTTCGGAGATTCTTGCAATAAAACAATTACAAACTACACCCAATAAAAGCAGCTATAAAAAATAAAATTACGCGAGCTATTAATACCTTTTCAAATTTATTACAGTAATAACGGTTTTCGTCGCATTTTTTGGCTCATAACACAATATACCTATTTTGAAGTCGATATGCCAAAAAATAAAAAAAAACATTAATTTCACTTCATAAACGAAGGTCAAAGTCATCAAGCATGTTATAAAGTACGTAAGTATCGACCCGTGCATTTATATTAAGTAATTTTAATTAATGTTATAAATAATAGTTCGGCAATCTAACCTACAATACGGTCAATATCGAGAATATCGATTAAATTAAGTGGCGAGATTAAAAATTTTACCTTCAGAAATATTAAAACTACAATTTCAAATCGATTATCTGTAAATATGCGAATAAACTCCTAACGACCAATAGTGATTTTTTATATTATAGATAATCCACATACACTCCACGCACACATACACAACCCACAATTGATTGAATTAACTGAAAATACTGAGTTGACAACAATGCTGTGAATCCAGTTTTACATTACAAGAGTAAAATACTTTACATACAAGTCTTATTCATTACAGAAAACTGTATTGTTTAAGTATAAATTTTTAACACTTGTCAAAAGATGTTTAAATACTGTTTGAAATCGGTTACTTCTTGTAAAATATCGAGGTTCATTGTTAAATTCGTAGAGGGAGCTACGTAAAATTAAGATCACAGAACCATAGAACATAAATAAAGTTTATTTATTGCTATTACTGGGTGACTAGATTTATATGAAACATTTTTGGGTAAAGTTATAACTGGTACAATTATCACCTATACAGGTAGATAAAGAATTATTTGCAATATAGGCTGTTGGTGCAACAAAGACAACTTCTGTTAATCTCATACAAGGGAAAAAGAAAGAGTGATAGTGGGATTGCAACTTTCTCACTCTAACCACTGTTAGTTTTATATTCTTTCTTTGTTCATCTGAGATATTTGAACCAATTTTATGCATTTATGTGTTTATTATAAAGAGGACATCTAACAGGATTTATAACATATCGTATTAAATTTTCTTGCTCTTACATTTTCTGATCTCTCAAACATTAGTTATAAAAAATGTATTCGTACTTACCGTTGGAGTCATGAAAAGGAAGTTCCAACTCCTTCAACATTTCAACTTTATTTAAACCAATATTTATCATTATTTAATGATAAATCAAACAACAAATTTTATTATTTGATTCCGCAAAGTTGTTTTTACATTTAATTAGAAAATTCCGTATTTAAATGACTTAAAACTTTTGACGAATTTTTAGCTGTCAACTGTCAATGATATAAATTTTGTCTGTACCAACATAAAAAAAAGAAAACAACTAATTTCAATACAATTTCTTTTACAACGAAAAATAGTCATCTGAATGATCTAATTTAATAAATTACACATTGAATTATGGGTTACATGGTTAACAAATAGTAAATGAATATCAATATGCCCTTGTATTGGGTTAATCTAATAAAAAATTTCAATACTTGGGAATGGTACGGTTTATACATACGTGGTAAAATATTCATTATAGAGACGTCTAATGTCGACTTAAGCAAATTTCCAACCTACTCTTATGCCTAGAATTAATGATAAGGCTGCTATTAAATTCAATAGTCGAAGTCGTTTTTAACGGCTCACGACAAACCTAATAACATGGTATTGAAGCAGTCTGTTTTCCTTGAAAAATGTCTTGCTAGGTATTATGAACAATTATCCGGGAAATCTAGATATGAATAAATGAGGAGTTTATTAATTATGGCCTACTAACGTTCCCAAAATACGGCACAAAAAGGGAAATTACATGAATTTTTTAATTTCAATTTGAGCACCTGCTTTTCTAGACCTTTTTAATATTTACGATTAGTTTATTTCTAGTCCAGTACTTAAACCTTTTCAAAGATTTAAACGACCTACACCTAATTTAAATAATTGTTTCATTCAAAAAGGGAGGTAATTTCATAAATTATCTATGTCAAAATCAACTTTGTTAACACTCAAGCAAATAATTTTCCCCAATTACAGGAAAACATTCTTTACCAGATTAAATCTTGGATTTTTTCGTGCTTTTCCTTAACCTACCATAACTTCCACATCAGTTAATAAAATGTTAGGTAATTGGAATCCATTTTGTTACATTTTACTTCATGGGTAAAATCCAATAAAAAGCAGCACCATTCATGACAATTGAATATAGCATTTTCAAAATAAGTTGTACCTAAATATAGCGGAAAACTCTATTTTAACTACTCTATTAAGTCCTTTTGTAGAGATAACAAACACCAATAAATAACGAAGAATTACTGACTGACATAATTTGGATCTTCGGGGCCATCTTCATTCGGTAATTACCTGCTATATATTTTATTTTTATAAAGTGTAATTCGGTCTCAATTGAATGGCTAATTTATCCAATTCGGTTTAAATCTTCGACATCCGCCTACCGAGCAAATTTAGATCGCTTTTCACTACTAAACGTGATTGTGGTTATAAAAGTTACACCAAATATTGACAAAATTGAAAGGCATAATTAGATAGAGTGAAATTTCGGTTAACGTGTATTGTGAACATTTGGTACGTAAAATTTTCAAGCTATTAGATATAGAACTTAATTACCAGCATCAATCACTAAACAATAAGAATTTCCTTCTTTTGTATTTTTAATTTTTCTTGATTGCATTTAGCGACATAGTAGGTACTTATTTATATTCTCTAAAACTTATCTACCTACTAATCATATCGTATTTCCCAGGTGTTCGTTTCGTCACGCAATTAAACTTTTTCCAATTCAATCCTAAAAATAAGTACCTATAATATACAAAGTGACAATGCTCGACTTTGAATAAAGCCATTGTTACACAGATGCATACAAATTGATCCACCTAATCGGAATAAGTTACGCAATAAATTACATAAAAAGTATTTTCAGTTTACCACTGTTCATCATGGTGGTGAATGGGAAGATATTGGCCGTATCGGAAGTTGGTATATCGATGCAACGCTTCGGTTGGCTGGATTACACCACGTTTCTGGCGATGCTAGGGATTTGTTTATTAGTCGGTATGTATTTTGGAATATGGAAAAAGGCAGAAACAGCCCAGGAATATTTGGTAGCCAGTAGATCAATGGGGGTGATTCCAATTTCGATGTCATTGCTGGCGAGGTACATGTACATTTCTTACTTCTAATAGGCTTTTAGAGATTAATCGAAGATGTTAGGTTGAAAAAATGCATTCAGAAACGACTACAGGATGATATGAATGTGAAATTTTACGAAATTTTTGCAGTTGGGTGAGCGGAATATCTCTTCTTGGCATCCCCACTGAGGTGTACGTGTATGGAATCCAGTACATCTACATTTTGGGAGGTTTTGTTTTAGCCACGATTTTAATGGGGTCCATATTTTTACCAGTTTTTCAAGGGTTAGAATTGACTTCAACATACGAGGTTTGCAATTATATCTTAAAAAATTCATCTAGTTGATCAGGTCAATTCCAAGTAGCCAGCGTTTGCATGGGAAGCTAAATTAAACCGTAAAGTCGAGCTTCTGTAATTTTATTAAATTTTTATATTGCAGTATCACGAAAGAAGGTTTAGTAAAACGGTCCGATTATTCGGATCGATACTTTTTACAATTAAAATGTTGTCTTGGCTGCCTCTGGTTATCTACGTTCCGGCGCTGGCGTTTAATCAGGGTAAGAAAATGTTAATTTGCATATAAAAAATTGAAGGAAATGCAGGGTAGCATGTACATAGCGAAAAATGAAACCAAGAATGTGTATTTTTTTAGTAACTGGAATTAACGTTCACCTAATAACGCCGGTAGTGTGCATATTTTGTATATTTTATACTTCGATGGTATGTAAGATTTGCTTATACATAATTAATATTTGAATTCGAAAATGGTAAATTGCAGGGAGGTATAAAAGGAGTCGTTTGGACTGACGTGATTCAATTGATCTTAATGTTTGGAGCTTTAATATTAGTTATAGTAAAGGGAACTATTGACGTTGGTGGAATTGGAAATGTATTGCAGAGAAATTGGGACAGCAATCGAATAGAAAGTCCAAAGTAAGAATTTTTAGAGATTCATTCATTAAAAAAGCACAGTGGAAAAATATTGATATTACCGAAATAATATGATCCTAGAAGTAAAAGATGTTAAGTTTTGATTTAGATCCTCTAGCAAGACATACCATATGGGCATTAGTAATCGGAGGAACGTTCTTCATTGTTCAAACTGCTGGTGTAAATCAAAATATGATACAGAGATATTTATCGTTACCATCAATGAAGCATTCCAGAAGGTAACGTTAGTTTTTCAATCAATATTTCGTTTCATTTCATCCTTCAACTTTACTAAACAAAAAACCTTTTCTTTTTAAATCAAACAATACTTTTTGAATTATTAATTGGATGCACCATACCGTCATCCATGCAAAACGACTCCATTCTGCAAATATTATAATATTCCACGTAATTTTATCGAAGCCGCATCATAAAGAAGTTCGAAATACTTATTAATACGTCGATAAATTATTCCTGAAACTATTGTTCTGATAAAAAAGTCGATATTCATGTGAAAATTTGCTTTAAAAATTTATATATTTTCCCTTCAATTAGGTGATAAGCCAGCGTCGATAAGAAACGTGGTGTACATTCTTATGTATATTCGAAGCTACCTTTTGTAGCAATTCACATGGTCGCTGTTTTAAATATTAAAATAGTTGGAAAAAATAAATAAATAAGCGGATATTGAACGCTAGTCGAAAGCATATACCGATCGCATATTCTAAAAATTAATGATTCAAAATGTAGCACAACAAGGAAGAGATATTTCCCTATTATTTTGATTTGTCTTTAATTTTCTCCAATTTATTTGTAAATAAATTAGGCTAGAATATCAATTTTATTGGAATATTTTTAGGGCACTGTGGGCATTTCTGGCGGGTATTACAGTATTATTGAGTTTTTGCTGCTACTGCGGAATGCTGATCTATGCCACGTTTTATAAATGCGATCCACTAACAACAACGGTGAGTCCTTGTCGAGAGAAAACCTCAAAAAATAGAGTTTGTTTTCATTTCCAGCTGGCTAGAGAAAAAGATCAACTTCTACCACTGCTAGTAATGGAAATATTAGGCGATTTTCCCGGCCTGCCGGGTATATTCGTAGCAGGAATTTTCAGCGCAGCTTTAAGGTAGTTAATCAAAGTGACTACTGTTTGAAAGTTAGATATTTTTACCGTTTTTTAGCTCTTTATCAACCGCTTTGAACGCAATGGCTGCCATAGTTTTGGAGGATTTCTACAAACCGTTTGCTAAGAAGGAACTAACTGAGAAGCAAACGTTTATTTTGATGAAAACGACGGTAATCGTGACGGGCGTAGTGTGCATAGGATTGGTATTTGTCGTTGAAAAATTAGGAGCTGTATTACAAGTTGGTTAAATTCATTTTCACTTTCTACAAATTTAAATCTACCCAAAATTTTAGCTTTCGACGAGTATAGGATCAATTGCCAACGGACCTTCATTGGGGGTTTCTGCAATGGGAATATTATTACCTTGGGTTAATTCAAAAGTAAGCATAAGTATATTTAAAATAAAATTATATACAAGGGATATATTTAAAAGGGTGCATTATGCGGTGGATTAACTTCACTAGCGTTTATGATCTGGTACTGCTTTAAAACTCAAAGCATGATAGCGTCTGGTGATTTAACATTTCCCGAAAAACCCGTTTCTACAGAAGAATGCCACTATGACTTCACTCCTAAAATAAGTATAATGAACAATATAACTCACACAGAGTAAGTTTTCATAAATTTAAGTACCATTATTTAACATTGGTGTCTTTTAGTGAGCAATTCATGATCTACAGGCTGTCTTATTTGTGGTACTGCCTTATCGGTACTTTCGTAGCAATGTTTATAGGATTACTGGTGAGCATGGTAACGAAACCGACGGATCCAAGAGATATTGATCCGAAATTACTTGCACCTTTCGTGAGAAAAATGATCAAACCCAGAAAATTTTCGAACCAGCCCAAAGAAACTATAATATACGCTTACGAACAGCCTGCAAAGGTATTGGAAATATTTAAAATTGAGTAATTTTGTTAAATATGATTAAATTCGTTTTTTATAGGTTTTGGATAATCACAATGAAAATAATACAGCAGATGTAAAAGTTTGAAATGTGTGTAAACAGAAGTTGTTTTATTTGTTTTGTTTCTCATTGTTATTTTCATTTTTCAACCAATTATATTGTTTCAAATTAACTTGTTAAATTAAACTAAATTAAAGTGCATCGCCTTATCCCCGGTTTAATGAAACAGTACGGTAATGTAGGTAATATTGATTTATTAGATAAAATTTTATAGTTATTGAATCGCTATTACAATCTAATTAAAATTTCAAATACAAATTAAAAAAATCGCCAACAATCGAACGTTTTTTAAGTCATATTTTCATACATAAAAATTATAAATAAAAATTGATCAAAAATACCAATTAAAGTCAAACATATCGCAGGAGTTCGTTGAATTTTCTTACAACAATTAGCAACACAAATAAAGAAAGTTGCAATAATAAAACAAGTCAGTAAAATGTAAAGCGTAAAACCAGCAGATAAATTCAAATATTCACGTTATAATTCGGCATTGGGACCAAATAATTATGGTCGAATTGATTCACCGAATAATCCGGAGGATAATAGAAATGCTGGTTTTTCAACGGCGTCACAAACTGGGGCGCATCGTGCGGGAAAATATTCCCATACATGTCCATCGAATATCCAGGCAACAGGTTCACGTTGGGGCTGCAATTGGCCGTCAAAACGGGACTCGCGGCGACGAAATTGGGCGACATTATATTGATAACCGGAAAATAGGGCATCATGTGTCGACTGCGCGAGATCATCTCGGCCGGAGTGATTTGCTTGTGCTTCCTCTTCCTGCTGGAGGACTTCTTCTTCGGTTCCCTGTTCTTTTTGATCGCAACCGCCGTTTCGCCTAAACGGTTTTTAATATTAACGCTAGCCTTGCATTTCTCCAGCATGGCATAAGCGACGTTGTCAGACATCGCAGCTGCGAACATCAAGGGAGTTATACCTGAAAATTTAGTAGTTTATTTCTTTTAATTTTAATAATGTTTGATACAAACCTGTGTTAAGTGTTTTGGCATCGATTGAGAAATTTTGCCTGATTAGGTATTCTAAAATGTCGTGCCGGTTGAATAAAATTGACATCGATAACGGTGATAATTCCCTTTCTAATATCCTCTTCGATACACCTCCGGTTAACAAATGCCCCAGTACGATTTTCACGATTTCAATACTAAACCCAGCAATGCTTATTAAAAATACAGACATTGCTGTAATAAAAAAAATTAACGTTAGATAAATGATGGTAGATAATATAATCTTGCAAAAAAACTTACAATATTTATTGCACTTAGTGGCATCTGCGCCGAGGCTCAGTAGAGTCTTCACAACATTCACATGGCCGTTTTTGCAGGCCATCATCAATGGAGTCCATCCTAAGAAATTTTCTACGTCAAGTTTAATTTTTTTCAAATCTCCAGAGAAACATCGCAGGTCGCCTTTCGCTGCGGCATAGTGCAAAACTGTGTTTTTCGCGTCATCTTGAAAAGGATTAGAGTTCACTTGGTTTGTCGGCTTTTCCGCGTGACCAGACATGTCATAACTGGAAAATTATTTTTTACAAACGAGCCCAGGAGAAGAATTTTTATATTTTAAATAAATGCTCACCAAAATTGCTGGGTAATTGTCAGTAAAACGAGCACAACACGATTGAATTTCGAGTTTTGCGAACGAATAAATTGAATCCAAACGAGTTTTTTTTGAAACGGAAAAAGTATCCAGTCGAAAGAAAACTGAATATTTTGATGATACGAGATCAATAAAAAAAGTTATTAGTACAAGGGTTAAATATTTTTGGTCCCATAAAAATTTGTTACCGACCTGATTTGAGCCTCGTTGAAAACATTAACAACAATCAACCTTGTTAGATCTAATTTTTCTCAATTTATGAACCCATTCAAGTCCAATTCGCGAAGGTAAAGTTACGTTTTACGATGCAATATGTATACAAAATGAAGAAAATAGACTTTAAAAAAGTCTGCAGAAATTTTTTAAAAAAATTTTCAGTCGACCATTATTCAAGTTACTTGTTTAAAATTACTTACACTAACTTTTGAGCATCGAAAGGTAAGTAATTAGTAATTAGTAGTATTAATAACATGCCAAAAACCAATATAAACTCATTACAAAAAATCTGATAAGTTATTAACATAATGCGGGTACAATAATTCAACGCCCCAAGTCCTAATCTAAAGAATTTTACGCAGAGCTTTCCTATAAGGGAAAGTTTCCCATTAATCAACGAACCTTATCTCAATCAGCTACTTATATTTCCCTTTTATTTTAAATATAAATTACCGTAAGTACCTTGAAGTTTATGCAGGAGAATTAATAATTGCTAAATTACAATGGGAGTTTAACTCAAAAAACCTTGGAAAAATGGATCGCATATTGTTTAGGTAATTTTTATTCACGTTATTACAGCGTAATAAATTGTGCAATTAGGACAATTACTTTTCTAACTTGTCGATAATAATCATAGTTTATATACTTACATATAAGCATTAAAGCTACTTTTATCTTGAGCTGGAAAATATCCAGACCGATTGTGGCAACATTGGAACTTACTACCTGTAATTCACCCCTAAGTTGTATCAATTTAGGTCATAGATCAGCAGAGTAATTTTTCAGTTCCTTATATGAAATATTCCATTTAATCGATAACTTATTGAACCTTATTATAGAGACTTGTAACAACCTATAACAACTACAGGAGGCAATGGCTTGAGATCTACCATGTGCTGACCTAATAGGAATAAAATTGGAGTCGATGAAACGTGTGGTAGGATAAAAATAATATCAAAATATTCAAACCGTATTATAATTACAAATAATTTGCGAAGTAAATCTACAATACCATTTTAGTTATCTTTCAATGGTGGACAACTCTTGCAACACCTGCACTTTGGTTGGTATGGGGCTGAATCTGGACCACACAAAATCTGCGGGCAAATTATATCCTTACAATCTTCCTTGGTCAAACAAACGTCTTTGGACACGCATTTGGGACAGCATTTATTTTTTTCGATTAAATAAATTTCATTTTCACTACACTCCTTGCACGTAGCAGGATCGCATGGGTTTTCGCTCGACGTTTCCGCTTCGCAATTAATAATTACGAACGCGGCGAATAATACAATTAAAACTTTCATGGTGGTTTAATCTTGAATGTGCTATTATTGTTTCAATCAGGGTATTTATATTTATAGTGCAAGATTATTTAAGAATTTATAATTTGGTTATTCACAGCAGATATGCTAATTTTAAAAAAATACCTTTTCCAACGTTGTGTCATTAAACAAGCAGTTAAATCACAATGTATACAGAAGCCTGATATACAGGATGGACACTTGTTGTAAACATCGGAGGAATAATAATTTATATGATTAAAATTCAACGCAATATGCTAAAAATAAGGCGATGAAATAAGAAAGTACATACATACATTTTTATTGAGGTATTACAAATATGTAACAAATACATTCTAGAGGTGTTATCTGTACAATTTTCTGCTATCTCAAATTACTACATTTTTAATTAGTACATACAAACGTATTACATTCTTTTATAGTGGACGACATATGTTGCAACACCTACATCTTGGTTTATAGCTCTCTGCACCAGCTCCACATTGAATTGGCGGGCAATTAACTGATGAACAATCTTCCACTGTCGTGCAAATATCTTCGAAATCGCATTCTGGACAGCATTTGCTCATTTCTAATCTACCACAAGTCCTACATTTGGCAGGATTACACGAGCTTTTGCTTGCATCAGCTTCATAGCAAATTATTAAGAAGACTGAAAGTAACACCGCACAAAGAACTTTCATGATGGTTTAATCTGGAATGCATCATTTTTGCTTCGATCAGATATTTATAGAATTAGTTATTAATTTCGTAATCTATTATGCAGATTATGTAAATTGCAATGTTTTCTATAAACATTCAATTAAATTGCAAGAAAATCTGAAAATGTACTTATAGGATGGACATTGATATTATTCTAATATTGGATGACAAAAAATTAAATAAGGAAGCATATTCGAGGCACTTACCTAAGAATTTTCATTGACGAGGGAATATGACAATAAACTGCTTAATATTTTATTATATAAAATAGGAACGAAACATTTTACACTGGAGTTGACTATCAAAATATTAAAACAACCTATTAGTTCAAACTTTTATGTATTATTACTACGGTAATTATACCAGATAAACTTTTTCTTATTCTTTTTCATACCATACGAAATAACTAATTAGTACCTGTTGTGCTAATTGGTACTACTTGGCTATTTCAACATGTCGATCATTATTGGTTTAAAAGTTTAATATAAAAGATCACCAATCAACAAAATAATTTAATTTAAGATCTTTATTCACATTATTTAACATTTAGTGCATTTTGAATCTCAAATATCCATTTTTTTGTTGTCTTCACAATTCGATTAGATAGTTTTCATATTCTCTCATAGACAACACTTACAGGGTTTGTTGAAAATGATTTCCTCAGCCGTGCAAGTCGGTAGCAAGCAAACAGCTCTCGAAGAACATTTTAACACTTGACATTTATTAGACGTTAAAAGTAAAATTACGACAAAAATCAATGTCGCTATTAACTTCATCTTAACTACACTGTTTCGTCGAGGTTATTTAATGTTCATTCGCCATGGAAATTTTTTTAGGAAACAATGAATGTATAATTTGCGATATTTACGACACCTGCTTTATTTAGTTAAAAATGTAAATGGGTCATAAATAATTCGGCTGTTGATAAATTTACGTGTTGTACGCTTTAATAGCGCAAAATTGTGTGTTTGGCTAATTTAAATGATATACCTACCTAAAAATTATTTTTCCAATATGGTTCTTTTTATTCAGGAAGAGCTTTTCTGATACTTAGGTTATCGTTAATTCTGTTATTTGAACTCTGTAGTTGTTTTCCAGTTATAATTTTTTCTGTACTGTTATTTTATAATTATATTGTTTTTTATGTAAATTCACGAAGATATGTACAATATAGACTCAACATTAATTAAATACATTCCTAAAATAAAACGTTATTCAAATGAACTTTATTTTAGTCTTTACCATATCAGGGAATTTAGTAAATAAATAAATTTATCGTCTTTCCGCAGGAATATAAGATGTCCCACATAATCATTTATAATATTTGTAACAAAAAAATAAAAAGAAACAACAAATTACCTGTTAATAAGACAGCCTGTAACAAATTTGTTCTTAATTATACAAATAATGTATAAACACGTTACACACGTATTTATCAGACGATAACCGCGCTGTGAATATTTATTACCGCTGTTGGGCATCATAAAAAGCGAAGAATTTCAATTTATTTTTCAGTTCTAAAATTAAACCTAACACAATGAACCAATTATTGAAATTGTTTTTCGTACTTTTTACCTGCAGCATATTAAATGTATCGCAGTGTAAATGCACAACGCCTCCGTTGTGCCCATCTGCACCTTGTGCGAAGCCCCTTTGTCAGCCGGGGGAAACACTGCAAACGTTACCGGGTAAATGTTGCCCAGAATGCGTACCCACCCACTGCATCAGACCGATTTGTCCTCCTGGTATCCAATGCTCCATTCCGCTGTGTACAGAAGATGAAAAAATTGTAAATTCACCATATTCGTGTTGTCCAATATGCGTACCGAAGCGTTGCCAAACTACGAAGGATTGTATGCTAGTAAGATGTGCAATGCCCGACTGTGCTCCAGGTTTTGTTGCTAAAAAACTACCTTGCTACTGTTGCTACCAGTGCGTTGCGAAAGAATGTCTAGCTGAAGAAGATTGTGCCGCTATAAGTTGCCTTAAACCAACGTGTAAACCAGGAGAAACTTTGACGGTACCAAAATGCCAATGCTGTCCGATATGCTCCCCGACTGGCTAGTTAATAGAACATAGAAGCGAAATTATATTCTATATAATGTGAAAAACCACGCAATAAAATCATGTTGAATAAATTAATTTCTTTTCAATGATACTTCACACATAAATCGTGCTTGAATTAGATACGAAATCATCTGTTGGAAAACGCTTGCATTAGAATACAATAACAACAAACATTTATCTATGTGTATGCACAAGCAATTAGTTTTAATTTATACTAAGGTTATATAGAAGTTAACTACTGATTCGAATTGCTTATAATTATTTATAAGATAAGTTTATATAAAATAGATGCGCTTCCAAGAACTAGTTAGTACATCAGTTCCAGTCATTTCAATATGAAGTACTTGTTGCTAATTTGTTTGGTCGTTTATTTCACGTCGGAAGTATCAGTTCAGGCTGATACCGATTGTCCCGATAAAAAGGATTGTACGCTAATTGCCTGCGGAGTACCGAATTGCCAAAACGAATGGAAATTGAAACAAAAACCTTGCGAATGTTGCCCGGGGTGTTACAAATTGATTGGTAAGTAGCGAAAAATTATACCGGAATTTAGTCGTCTTCAACGATTATTGTTAACCTTCAATTTAATTATTCCAAAAATTCGTCTGACGAAAAGGGGAAAACACAATAGAATCTCGCATTCAGTTAGACAATTATGTCGTGCAAACAACGAATATTCGTTCTGTTCCTCTTGAATTTGTTCATTGCGAAAATCGCGACTGAATCGACCCCCATCGATTTCTCCCAAGAGTTTCATCCGGACCCTATCGAATACACCAGGTGCTCGCCCTATTACTGTTCGAATAAACGTTTCATGTGCGAACCGGTGAAATGTTCGAAAGATCAGAAAGAAGCGACTGCGCCCGAATTGTGCATTTGCTGTCCCAAATGCTTTAATAAAATAGGTAATCGTGGAAGCATTTTTATCAGCAGTTGTATACACACCATATTTGAAGTATGTTTGATTGAAGTAAGTAATTAATGTTTTTTTTTTTAGAAAAAGGTGGAGCATGTGGGGACGATCAGGATACTATATGCAATGACGGCTTGAAATGTGTTGATAAGAAATGTGTGGAATAAAACTTATAGTGATTTGTTTAAATCACTATGCTTAATAGTTGTTTGCAGATTTTGTTGAATTAAAATAATTCGTTTTAGCAATCGAAAGAGTTTTATTTAACTAAATATAATTCAAAATGTGTATTACACGAGAAGGAGAATAAAAAGCTAATGAATTGAAGTTTACAAAAAAATGCATTCTAAGATTATTAAAAAAATCTGAAATAAAGTAGAGGTAATTAGGCCTGTTTAACGCATTTCAATTCGGTGCCACATTCGAAACCATCCACACATCTAGCTTTGAAAGGTCCTGAAAGGCGCCTAAGAGGCACGCATCGCTCTCCTTCATCTAAAACCCATTAAATATTAATATAAACGAAATAACGAGAATACCTGACGAAGGTGATCAATTAATTGCGTATTTTTGTAGAGTACTTACACAATTTTTTGTAACAAACATCACAGCAACCGCAGATACTTCCATTTTCGACTAGCATTTCCTTGGTTTCGTCGCAAACTTCATTATTGCAGCTATTTTGTTTGCAATAATCCGGCGGACAGAGGAAACAATCGATGCTGTAGATGAAGCATAATAAAATCGATAACAAATAAAAGAATTTCATCTTTTCCTCAATTTAACCGTATGGTCGAAATTACGTGGTTGTTTTTTGGATTCAAGTAAGAAACTAAATTGTTGTCGGGGAACTGTTATATATAAAATAATTTGTTTTGGATCATTTAATCGGGGATTTTTATAAACACATTTATTGCGCGTTGTAAGTACAATATATTCACCTTGAGGTCAAGATAAAATTATCATCTTATAAAATTGTTTTATAAGTGCGATAAGTTTGTTTTAAATTTGGGAAAAATCGGGTCAAGAAAACGTGCTCTAAATTCAATGGAAGTTTAGACGAAATTGTTATTTTTTAATGATTTCTTTCAGAATTATCGACAATTATTAATCATTTAGAATATACATCATAGTTCGACCTGATAATGTTAGTTTTACGGATTCATAACCTAAATTAATAATTCAGTTTTCATGACAGTATACCCAAGAAACACCTGCACCTTTCGACAGGCGGGTGTCCTAAATCACGAATCGCTTATTCATTGAAATAACATTTTTTATTACTTTCCAATAATCGCGGCCAATTTTCAACGAATCAATTCTTAAAGTTTGCAGGTAATTGGAATTTTCTTTCACACATTTATTGAAAGTTTTATACGAGTATTATTGATTTTTTACATCAAGGCTTTCCTAAAAAGCATATATTAAGTGGACGAAATTTATGCATATTTTTAGCAAATAATCTGTGGAGTTAAAAATCAAAATTTTTATGATTTTATTAGATTCCTTTAAATAGGTAAGGTAGACTGGGGCAAATCGGTTGTAAAATTTGAATAGTTCAATAGTAAATTAAGTCCTAAAATGTGGCTTAATTTTTTCTTTTATTAGAAATGCTGATACCACATTAAATTCACAACTTCCTAAACTAAAGAATCGATGTATTAAAAAGTTTTTTTGAAAAAGGAGTAAAACGATTTTACATATTTTTTAAAATGTTGACAATATGTTACATTTACCCCATGGTACGGGGTAAATGTAACAAACGGTTTTAAAGTGCAATACAATTATATAGAAAAACATATAGGGCAATTGTAAAAAAATATTTGGTTCCTCTAAAATTTGATATGCTGTTTATTTATTTATTTAAAAAAATAACAGAGCTATAAAATAATAAAGAAAAAATAAGAAACAAACCCTGATTAATACACAAAAGAACTATAAAAATAATAAAAACATTAACATAATAGGTATAAAAATATTACATTTACCCCATTTTTACATTTGCCCCAGTCAACCTTAATTGAAATTATAAAGTAAACTTTATATGTAAGTATTGAAACACATACATTTGAATCTTGTATACACCTACATTAATATATGAATAGAAAAAAACCAAACTGAAATTATACTTTAAGTATATTCCACGTGCCTTCATATGCATGTAACAATTTACATATTTCAATTAAATTGAAGAAATAGATAGACATCTAATAATTTTCTCTGATGCTAATTTAGCTTCTAACAAAAATGTTGAAGTAGCTAATGAACAATTTAACAACTTTACGTTTATCAATAATTCCCCGACTTCTTCGTTATTGCGCTCGAAAGCGATGGCAACCATTAATCATATTTCCAAAAAGTCCAGTTAATCTATCATTTATAATAATTACACGATCAATTCGACGGTTTCTCCTCGCGGCAACGACATGTAGCAAAGTTGACAAGAAGAATCGAAAATCGAATATTTTGAACAGATTAATGCATAGATAATAGGTATGTGAAAGTATACGTGCCTACGGAATACTACACATATCTGATAAAATTGTCAACAATTGGTTCCGTTACCATTGGAATCGTCCCTAAAAGTCCACTTCCTTTGCTGTTATGAACCAAACAATGCTCAGAAATGTCCATTTGTTCGAGCTACACACGTCGACGTAAAACCTTAGCAACCAATGGCCAGGCGGCTATGTTCATCAATTATTCAAATTTTCGAGGCGCTTTTCCCAATGAAGAAAACTCATTCGTGCTGGAAAACAGTTTTCGTTCGTCCGTCGATGGGTGCACAGTATAATTTAATTTTCCGGTTTCTTCTCGACGAGAAAATCGCCTCATTGTGATCGCGTGTATCGTGCTGAAGCTGTTTCGCTGAAGCTCCGCAGGCTCCGCAGGCTCCGCAGGCTCCGCAGGAACGGTTTCTCATTTGTGCCGGAGGCGGTGGGAACACTTGTTGGTGTGCTTGATCCTCGATGAATCAATTTAACACGTACACGCGGAGGCCGCGTTTTTATCCGCAAACCAGTGATTTAAAAAGACTACTCAATTATACGTAAGGTGGAATATGGGAATCTGTTTAGACACAGGTACTAATTTTTCGCATTATAATAAATATCTGCCACGTGTCTGAGACAAACTTATAACAGATATATTTTTTGATATCACCGATGATGAAATTCACAACAATTCCGTGAATGATGTATGTAAATGAAATCAATTTTTAATGTTGTTTTGTACAAAATAAAATCGATAGCTACTTTTTCGATTGGTTTATTTCATATTACATAAAAGATCAAAGTCTGACATTGAAAGGTTTGTTATTCACGTTATTAATGAAAGGAAGAAAGGGCAGGTTAGTAGGTAGAGGTCAATAAAATCCGCTGTTTTTTTAATTGGGAGGATTAATTTATTTAGCACGTGATTAAGAATTAGTTTCCATCGGGCGGTATATACATATTTCTTCTCCGAAGGTAAATAAATACTCTAATATCGAAATCGGTATATTTAAATCAAAATTTGATTTCGAATAGAATAATATTTGGCCTAATATCAAGCAATAAAGTAAATTTCCAAGAATATTATACCAATATTTAATCGATAAACAAATATTCTTTCTATTATATACATTATGCGTTAGTGATTGATGTTTGTTTACTTTACGTTTTCTAATATACTTAGTAAAATAATTTTCAACTATGTATAAGTGTATTACTCAAAATGAACTATTATGTATACCTACATAAACAAATACAATAAAGCAAGATTCATTGGAAATCCATTACTAATCTTGTAATATTGGATTAAAAGATAATACATTTTAGGTATACGTTTGCATGTAATTCAATAAATTTCAATTATATTAACGTTAATTTAACGTACATTTGTTACGCTACTATCAAGGTCTGTCCGCGTTTTAAACTCATAAAAACAAAATATATATAATTGATTTATAAAAAAAAATGTTACAGGAATTATAAAACAGATTTTCAATATTTAAATATTTGTTAGGTCTGTTTACATAATTCTCTTTATTGTAGCCAGACAAGGTCAATCGATACACATATTACCTGAAAACCCTTTGCGACATACACAATACTTATTTCCTTAACGAAGAGTATTTACCTTTCCGATCGAATATTTGTGTCTACACAATGCTGATATGAAAATGATTAAATAGGAAATCGATCATTAAAAACACTAGTTACATTTGTACAAAACATTCTGGAATTCCCCGTTCGTGTTACAACATATTATTAGCTATTTTAATTTCCTCAAGAACCGGGAAAATACCGTAAAGCTCACTTAACAGTCGAGGAAATGAACCCGCTAAACGAATAATTTAAATGCTTCTAATAATATGTCGCATAATAGAATTGATTTTGTTGCAGAGCATAGCGATGATTCCCAAACATTCGAAGAAGGACACGAGTCGTGGACTCAAAATACACCCCGAGCAGCTGCCAACGTTGCGACACCGCCAGCGGGAAAATTTCCCATGCATAATGGCTCCAATATACAATTCGAATCGCCCAAGGTTCCGGTCATTTTCGTTCTTGGTGAGTTCCTTCACCTATTTCATTCGCAATTGCAACACCGGTTCATCTCTCATTGAAAATCGTAAGCGCCAGTTTATTGGATTCCAGATATTTTGCATTGCAAATTGACTTGCATGCAACTTTGATTTTACGTATTAATAGGTTATTCAACTTCTTTTGCATATCGAACAGAGGTTCACTAAACTCTAACGTTTTATTATGGCTAATAAATTTTACTAAGAAACAATTTTTTGTAATTTTCCAGGTGGTCCAGGAAGTGGTAAGGTAACCCATTGTGATAACTTGACGCAAGAAAAGAAAGGAGTCGTGCACATCAACATGACGGATCTGTTACAGCAGTACGCTGTTGGAAACGGTGAGTGAAATAAACGAATTAAAATTTTATTATCACTTTGTGATAAAATTATTTGTAAAAATCTTTATTGTAATAGCTTCCCGACTCGTGACAAAGGCAATTTGGAAGGTCGCACTTATTTTTGTCCCCCTCGTTAGAACGAGAGCGTCTGTCATATTCTTGGTTTTTACTAATTTCGTCATTATCGTTATTATCGTTAGGGTTGTTTTGGTTATCTGATGCATCTACAAAAAATGGATATTATGATGTTATATTGAAATTGGAAACAACTAGATAGTTATTATACGCATATTTTAACTTTATCTACCTTTTTCATCATCGTTATTTGGTTTCATTGTTTTGATCGATTCTTCCGATGCTTTTGGTGTAACTGGAGGATTTTCAATGATCGCTCGTGTTTTCAATGTACGTTTTCGTACTTTGTTTCTTCTGCGACTGCGGCTTCTTCTTCTTCTGCCCCTTGCTCTTCTTCCTCTCCTACCCCGGCAATCCGAAGGTTCATCACTTTCTACATCATAGAGAAAAAAACAATTTTAACTACCTAAACTATATTATTGCCTAGGTATACCTGTTTCGCTGAGATCTCCGTTATTACTAAAACATTCATTAGTTGTCGTTGCCGAAGGTGTTCTAAGCAACTCCCTAAGTTTCTGGCTCATTCTTTTTTGCTTCCTCTTCCTTTTTAGCTTGAATTTATTGTACAAGCTCTCCGTAGATCGGATTTTACGCACTTTCCTGAACAAATCGTAATCGCCTTGGGTCATTCCCAAGCAGTATTTTCCATGTTTGAGTACCAGAATGCCGGTTTTCACTCCGTGGCAGAGGGCCTTGTGGATCGAAGCGATGCTTTTCTTCAGCCGTTCCCTTCTGAGGTGCAGAATCGTATCAACCTGGTTCAGTATAGCCTTTTCCGTGGAACCTTTCGACTCTCTCAATATCGCTATGGCGTCCAAAACTTCATGGAATAGACGCGGTAGAGCCTTTTTTCGCTTCATGATTCATTTTTTTAGTAACGCTGAATTTGTATAACGGATCTGCTTCGATAAGAGTTCGTTTAAATATAAAAAATTAAAATATAAAGTAGAAAGAATGATTAAAATTAGATAAAAAAGTCAAAATTGACAAACTTTGCAGTACAAAAAAACATTAATAGTTGCTTAGTAATTTACGCTCAATATTCCACTCATTTTGGGATTGGTAGTTCCTATAAGCTAGAAGATCTAAAAATGGATATTTTTTTGAATTTTGACCTTCACAATAAATTGGTTTACTGAAGAATAACTGTTACGCAAAAACAGGATCATTGAAATGATTTTACTAATACTGTGTATAAAAAATTGTGTTACAGAAATAACTTTTATTGTACATATTATAAAATGTCGAAAATACAATAGAAAAATAAGTATAATATAATCATTCAAATTAATTGTCTACTGTAGAACTGTTGCAAATGCATTTTGAATTGTCACAATTTGAATTATAGTTTTGCGGCATTTGCTGGTTGGTTTCAAGATTTTCTGTGAATAAATAAAACTCATTAATTTAATTATAAAATATACTGCTCCACAAAAGTTAAGTAAGTTCACAAATATTGAGATTAATTTAAAAGTTGCAGGTTTTTTGATCGCCAAATTTAGTATGAGTTGTAGAGGTAGAGGCAAAAAATCCACTCAGATATGGGAGAAAACATTTAATTTCGAATATTTGAAAATTTGGCGATCAAAAAGTCTGTAACTTTTAAAATAATCGCAAAATTTGCGAACTTTCTTAACTTTTGTGGAGCAGTTTATTTGGTATTGTATATTCTTACCGTTTTGTGCCGCATCAATCTGTATTGTATTTTTTAAAGATTTTCTAGTAGCGCGTTGTTTCAGTATTTTCTTTTTTACAACTTCATTTTTGGATTTATGGATTGCCGATTTCCTTGGTCGGCCTCTTTTGTTTTTCTTTATCTGGTCTTATTAAAGAGCAGTATTGAATAATTCGTTTTATAAATAAAACATTAAGATATGACTAAGTTTTAAAATTTATCTAGGTAGTTATTAACATTTATAAACCATAAATATTACACCTACCTATATTACTACTTTTCTGTTCAGAAATTTGCTTTTGAGAACTTGGTTCTTGATCTTTTTCTTTAAAATCGCCTTCCAATTGCTTAACTTTCATATTGGTTCAAATGCAGATGAGCTTCGTGTTCACCAATTTTATTTATTATTGCATTTATTATAAACATGTATAAATACTTTATAAATTATAATGCCTTTTGGAACATTCCGGGCACTTTGAAATAATTAAATTGGAAATAAGTTATTTTTGTCATATAATTGACAGATCTATATACAGGGTTATCACTTATTTATTTTATTACTACTGAATAAATACTCAAAATAATATTTTAACGAGCTGTGTATTGTAAGCACCTACCAATTAGAGCTTTGAATCAATTTTGAATATAAATATTTACGTACTATTTTGCATAATTAGGTAAAATATATCAAAATTAAAGAACCAATTTACTTGTGCGTATTATTTATCTAGAATCTGTAGATGCTATCAACAATTCTGCAGTGCTTACAAAATGTTACCTAATCTTTAACCATAAGCTATAATAACATACATTTACCCCTGATTTGCATACGAATTGAGTTAAGGGTGAAATTAGCTCTACAATTCCTCCCTGTTACATCTAGGAATTAATTTTAGAAACTGCGGGTTTTTTTTGTAAACCCATGACGCAAGATTTAATTTTCGATGTGCATCAAATTTTTTTCATCAGTCAAGGTGCGTAAGTCAGACATCGTTGTTTAAACACGCAATCCATTGCCGTGTCCGCTTTTTGGGCGTAAAATCGAACTCATGAACTTGAAATACTGAACGAAATAGTACAATTACAATGGCTCGAACGGAAAAGGAAAAATCAATAATTCACCCTATAGTTTTATGAACAAAAAATATCCCTCAACTCGTTTGCTCGGCCATGATGTCGATTTTGATAAGATCCATATTATCAACGGTTTGCAGAACGGTCATTTAAAATGCAATAATGATCGTGGAATTTTTACCGTATTTTTCCCGGACTTTAAATAGAGTTCTACGAACGTTCGTTCTGTATTTTAAATTATTGTTTAGGGATTGTTTGATAACAACGTAACTCCTTAAATTGTCATGAAGTACGATCGGTAAAACTGCATAAGTAAATAAATGAATAAAGTAAAATTGAAGTAAAATCAATAGGCATGCAAATTTTAATAGAACGTGGAGAAATAACTACATAGTTAGTACCTAAATATAGATATTGAATAGAGCGCCTCTATTTGGATGAGTTAATTTGATAATTTTACCCCATCTAAGACTATGTAAAGATAATTTAAAACGAACTTTAACTGTTTCAGATATGCCAGACTTTGGTCTCCTTTCCAGCAAAACAGTTACTGAAGTTCTTATGTTAGAAATGAAGATGTCTCCGAACGCCAAAACTTACCTTGTATCGGGCTATCCACGAAATATGCGCGATGTAGTGGAGTATTCGGAAAAAGTGAGTATAATTTAACATTTTTCAAACTCATCATTATCCTTAAAACGTTTCATTTTCGTTTGAATAGATATTCAACAGGCAATTTCATATTTCAGATTCAGACTGTCCAAGGCGTTATCATGATATCCTGGAGGCAAAAGGTTCTAGAAAGACAAATAGATTACGGTGCCAAATTAGGTCAAGTTGTTTTATCATTAGCTCGTATGGAATTAAATAATTTTTACAAGAACGTCATACCTGTAGCGGAATACTTTGACCAAAGCAATTTGTTAATATCGGTAAGTAGCTAGGCATATCGTGTTGAAAATTGGAATAATTTTTCCCAGAACCTACCTCGATTATACTTTATTATACGCGATAAGTTACCATTATTCCTTTACAATATACTGAAATAATTAAGGTAGGTATATCATATTTTGATCAAAAACATTCTTCAGAAGTTCAATAGATAGAGTAATTATTAGGTGTAAATGAGTAAATAAATTAGGTGTTGATATCCCGACGCTGTGAAAATTGCTAGTTAACGAGATACCTTTAATTCTCTTCTATACAACGAACAAACGTGAATTTATTCTACCATTAATTTCGCTAATATACCCGCATTTCACGAGCGAAAGGGTTTTCGCGCCGAACTACCCTCGACCGGGGTTTCTTAACAAGAGACCCGTGAAGTTTCCCGTCATTGACACGCGATATTGCAACCGCCGTAAACATCTATTAGCAGGTCAGGAAATACCGGATTTTATTTTACTTTCATTCCTGCATCGTTCGACCTATTTTTAGATGATCGCGATTAAAATACGCCCACGTTTAATTGGTCCAATCGATTTTTCTGAATTCCAGATCAACGGCGAGCGAGTACCCAACGACGTTTACCAAGATTTCAAAGCCGCTGTCATTCGAATTTTGGGCATGCAGGACAATCCACCGATATTCGCCAACGGCAAAGTGGCCCCTGTACCTGACGATGTCGTCAAAACCGAACTTCCACAAGTAGTAAGTACATTACAAAACTAACCAATAAATCTTACATCATCACTTTTGCAGTCTATGCCGTCGTCGAATCAAATACCACCGGCGATTCCCCAATCTGAGAAACTGGTTGGGTCCCCGGACAGGCCGAGAACTCGGGTAATATCCGTCAACCCGAACAACGGGAGCTTTCAAACGCCCACGAAAACCTACCCGCCCGTTTTGTGGGTGATCGGAGGACCTGGAAGCAACAAGGCCAGTCTTTGCGCAGGCGTGGCGCGAGATATGGGTTGGGAGCACGTCAGTTTAGGGAAGATGTTGAGGAACGTGGCCGACCAGCCGGACGCCAAGAAGAACAAGGAAACAGCCAAGTTAAGGGATTGCATCACCAACGGGGAATTGGTGGCTCAAGACACCGTTTCGAAATACGTGGATGGGATTATGGCGAATAACATGGAGAAAGAGGGGCTTATACTCGATGGTTACCCGAGAGATATGGCTCAGATTAATGAATTTGAGTCCAAAGTAAGTATACATACTCATGGTGATTCGTAAACGTGTAGGCTTTTTTTCAATTAGCTTCTATTTTTAACTAGTGCAATTATTTTGGTCACTACCCACTCGACATCGTTCGTAAGGCTAATTATTAATTTAAGAATTTCAGTTTTTCTTTCCATTTTTTTCTGTTAATTAATTTTCCGATACACTCATTTCCGTTTGCAGTATAAACACTAATTTAATATGAAGTTGATGGATTGCTTCAGCGACGGCAAACTCATTTTACCCTTGTAAATACCTACAAAAAATGTATTGCTAGAGACTGCAAGGTCAGAATAAAGACGCATACTATTCGAAAATTCATAAAAATAATAAAACAGTTCAATTTTTCAAAGAATAACCTCATCCATTATTTTAAAAGGATCCATTAGGTATCAAGATTTTATACTAGGTTCACTTTTTGCTTTTCAGTTTAAACAAAAACCTGCTGTAATTCTACTGGATTGCTCAAAACTTCAATTAGGAAGAGGCCGATTAGACGATAGTGTAACAGCATTCAGGCGAAGGCTAGAAATATTCCGGCAATCCTCGCTGCCCATGCTTCGAGCAATGGACAGCATAGGAAGATTAACCATTGTAAGTAGAGAATTGAATATGGATTATTTTTGTCTTCCAACATCTTACAACTCCTTTCAACATCTTGCAACATCTTCCAACATCTTCCAACATCTTCCAACATCTTCCAACATCTTCCAACATCTTCCAACATCTTCCAACATCTTCCAATATCTTCTAACATCTTGCAACATCTTCCACCATCTTCCAACATCTTCCAAGACCTTCCAACATCTTCCAACATCTTCCAACTCCTTTCAACATCTTGCAACATCTTCCAACATCTTCTAACATCTTCCAAGACCTTCCAACATCTTCCAACATCGTCCAACATCTTCCAAGACCTTCCACCATCTTCCAACATCTTCCAAGACCTTCCAACATCTTCCAACATCTTCCAACTCCTTTCAACATCTTGCAACATCTTCCAACATCTTCTAACATCTTCCAAGACCTTCCAACATCTTCCAACATCGTCCAACATCTTCCAAGACCTTCCAACATCTTCCAACATCGTCCAACATCTTCCAATATCTTCCAACATCGTCCAACATCTTCCAATATCTTCTAACATCTTGCAACATCTTCCAACATCTTCTAACATCTTCCAAGACCTTCCAACATCTTCCAACATCTTCCAACATCGTCCAACATCTTCCAATATCTTCTAACATCTTGCAACATCTTCCAACATCTTCTAACATCTTCCAAGACCTTCCAACATCTTCCAACATCGTCCAACATCTTCCAATATCTTCTAACATCTTCCAACACCTTCCAACATCTCCCAACATCTCCCAACATCTTCCACACCTTTCAACATCTTCCAACATCTTCCAACACCTTCCCACACCTTTCAACATCTTCCAACATCTTCCAACACCTTCCCACACCTTCCAACATCTTCCAACGTCTTCCTACATTCTAGTTATCTTTACTTCTCTAGGTGGACGGTGACACGGACACGGCGCCGGTCCAGCAGGACTTCAGGAACGTGGTCAAAGAGCACGTGGATTACCTGAAATCCCAAAGTCAGGAGAGCGCGCTGGCCGTTCGGAACGGCAACATTCCCAACGGGCACGGCCTCCCGAACGGCCGGGTGCAGGAAAACGGGCAGTTGCAGGACGTCGACGACGAACCGATCGACACCATCAGCAAACGGGTCAGTAACGGAGTGAATCACATGTCGAACGGCGTCGGGATGAACGGGCTGCACAATTTCAAACCGGCGACGGAAATCGAGGGACATATTTAATCGGAGTGAGAGTAGTTTAAGATTATTGCTTGTCAAGTGAAGTATTAGTTGTATTTTAGGGATTGTTTCTAATCGGAGCACAACTTTGCGCAACCGTTTAGGTAATTAGTAATTTGACAGTACTTTTGTCTCGGTTGGTATTATTGAAATTTGCACTGATCTACTGCTGCTGAGTTTAGAAATTTTTAACAGGAAATTGCAGTATCAGTCGAAAGTTAATATTTCTTTTCGGGTTCACATAATTTAATTTAATACGGACAAATAATAAAAAATATAATAAAAAAACCATTTCATCGCTTCAGTAGATAAACAATTAGTGGCGAGGATGAACCATGCTGTATATAATGAGCTTGAATTGTTTTTCTTTCTGTATCTATAATTACGATTAAGAAGACACCTAAATGAGTAAAAATGTGATAGACCAATTTTGTATTTTAGAGTATTTTTAGATAATTTAATGGTCAGAAGAAGTGCCTTAGGTTTGTGGTGGAGATGAGAATTAAAAACAATATGATTCAGAATATTACGATTTTTATGATCTATATGAATCATATTTTTTTTAAACTTTCATCACGCAATGAGGGAAATGGGTCCAACAGTATTTTAATTAGAATATTAGCGAAAAGTATTGTTAGAGTAAATTAAAGCTAGTCGATTAGCCGCTGGACGGCGTATCTGAATGTTTTTATAAGCGTTGAATATATTTAAGAACTAATTTTATTAACACCTCAAAAAATAGAGGCACGTTATTACTAAGATTAAATGCAAAAATTATATTTGATGTTTGACATTTATTAAGTATATTTATAAGACGTTTCACATGGAATTTCTATTTTATATAAATAAATAAGAGATGCCAAATGTATTGTTCATAAATTTCGGTAAATCAATACAAAAATTCTTTAAGTTTAAAATACAATTCGATTTTATGAAAATGCCGTATAAAACAGATGTATTACACAAGAACGTTGTAATTATATAAATAAATCAAACGAGCAGTCTTATTATTTTAAATTATTTTTGTATATAATTATTTAATCTTCTAGTCATGTCAGCACTGCTTTGAATTGATTAAAAGCCGATCGAACGACCCTAGTGGCGCAGAAAATCGTCACCAGCGACAGCAAAACGATCATTCCTCTCTTCTCGTTCGGCGTGGTAAAACTGTTAAAAGCCGGCAGGTCCAGGCCCAGGATTAAACTAGCCATTCCCAGTACAAAAGCGACCAAACCCAACAGCGTATGGATCAATTTCACTACAACAGGCCTAACTAATAGTTTAAATTTTGGAGAATACAACGCCAGCAATCCCCCGAATACAGATATCATACAAAGTAGCCACGATACTAGACCTAGAAAATAGAAAATTAATGAAGTAAATACGAAAATTCCGAGACACCCACCTAAAATAGCATGATCGCTGACGAAATTCGGATCCCCGAAACCCAATTTCGTATTGATTTTAATGCTAATCCCGACTGTAGCAATTACCACGCTGCATCCTAAAAACACTCCGTGTATCCAGGATTTTATGTTGCGGCTCAATTGCAATGTCCAAACGTTGTATTCGGAGAAAATCAGTAAAGATTCGGCCATCAAAGGAACGTACTAAAAATGTCTCAAAATAGACTGGGCGCAATCTGAACGAAGAAACAGTTGTACTTACCGCTAATGTGCTCAAAAAGACGTGCAGGAATCTAGTGAAGCGGTAATTTTCTTTGTATTTGAAGAATATGTAAAACATAAAAGCTGCTGATAATCCGATAATAACGTGTAAAAGAGTGTTGTAGATACGAAATAGTCTGTCTATCACCGTAAGAGGTTTTGTTTCTGTCATGACTGCTCCGAATTAACCGAAAAATACTAACAGATTATTATTTACGGGTACTTATTGAACGATTTCTTTAAAGGCTCCTTTTTATAATGCGATGTTATAAATATTCCATAAAGATATAAACCTATATAAGGATTAATTATATGATTACCTATAGTTATTGCAGATAACTGTTAATTGACGCAATAACTAACTTTTGGTTTACCGTATTTAATGCTCCCCAGACTTTATTGATAACAATTAATAGACACCTTAAACTTATTTTTCATTGAGCAGGGAACTGACAAGCTTTAATAATTTTTGCTGGACAAACATTACCAGCAACTTATACAATTTACAGACGCATTATCACCAAAAGAAAATGATATACATTAGCATAATAAAAATAAAATATATTCATGTATTAAAAAACTGTTTTCAATTGAGCCCATAGAGAAATGAAAGCCCCATTCAAGGGCCATATTGACGCAGCTATAGTTAAACCTAAAGCGACAGATCTGGATTCTTCACCGGTGTAATAAACGAACCAATTGGTGAAGTAGCCGTAACACAGACTCGTTATTCCTATTCCGTAAGCAAGTAAACCTGTGATGTTATGTATGAATTTATTAGTTACAGGTCGAAGTGGCAGGAACTTCTCAGCTTGTTTCGGATAATTAACGGCTAAACCGAAACCTAAAGATATGTAGAGGAGTATCATTGATATCAGACCTGTAAAGAGTACCAGAGAATAAGATTATTTTATTTATACATGAGTAGTAGTTGCAAATTTACCGGTAATTCCATGTGCAGTGTACAAATGGTATCCAGGCGATAAGTACATAAAAACGAGAATATTTCCTGCGGTTACCACCAATGTTGCTACAGTTATTATAATACCATGCGCAATATATTTCGATTTTCGATCTAATTTTTTACTCCATATATCGTCACCCACGAATAACATAATGGCTTCAGCCATAAGGGGTAAGTACTAAACAATAACAATATGATTGAAAGTTCGTTAATTATTTTGGATCAAACTTACCCCAAAAGTACATAAGATTACATGATAGGAAAACCAGCCGGTTAAATATTGAAACGGAATCCAGCAACAATAAAGAAACAAAGAAGCTGTTATAAATCTAACTACGTAGTTTATTGAAAATCTAAAAATTATTTACGTAGGAAATTTAAAAGTTTATTGTAAAAATGCACTCACCTTGCAATAACAATTAGTTTATTAGCCGAATCACTCATTTTAGATAAGTCTAATAACAAATGTGTTTACTGGTAGATATTTATTGGAAACACTTCGACTTATTGATTCACTTTCGGTTAGGAAAACATGAGAAATTACAACAAGAAAAACCCAATATAAAATATTTCAGAGAAATTACGTAAATAACAAACATGCTCCGTGAATTACTGTTATTCCTACTTCAAGTTATCATCAAACTCGATATACTATATTTAATTTTTTTTTAAATTTATTGCGATAACAATTTCTTTGATGCAAACCATAATATCGACAATATTCTATTTAATTAAATCAGAATACATTTTTGTTAAAATCTCAGGACAAATGTCTCAGAAAATTACCTTTCTCCTGACAATTTTTCTAAGAATCTCGAAAAAAGATAAATGGAAAATTGTATCAGCTGAAACTGTACTTAAGGTAAACGCTAATCAATTCTGGCATCATGTATCAGAGTTTTTGATTTTTTAAAAAAAGATAACAGGAAAAGTGCAATAAACCTAGTCTTCAATTAAACTATAGTGCTATTAATAGGTACTTGTAAATTTAATTGCTTACATCAAAAATCGCTACAAAAAACTATGAAATTATTATATCGTAGAAATTTTATTGACTAATAAATACATAATCTAAATTATAATACTTATGTTTCTTATTTTATCTAAATTACTTTTAATTATTAGATAGATATGATGTAAAATGATATAAAAACTCGGAAACCGGGTGAGTCATATACAACTTTGGCAAGCGACAAAATTAAGAAAAAATCAATTATTAAACCAACTTTCAAATTATGTACAGATTTTCTTAAAATTAAAGCTCCTGAAAACGTAGGTACCTAAAAATTGTATGGAAATAAATAATATTTGCATTAAAAATTTAGTGTTGGTTTAATATTAAAAAAAAGTTAAAATCGGCAGTGCTGCTCTAAAGCGAAAGAATATCTGGATTACTAATCTCATTGTTGTCCATTTTAAGTCGCAATTTTTAAATATTTTATCAATTTGCAAATAAATCCAACAATATTGCCAAAATTTACAAATTAATAAATATTTAATCATAAATTAATCAATTAACATTAAACTATAGTTAATTATGAAAAAAAAATCACAGACACCTATTAACATAAAATTGGAGTATTTTGTTTTACTACAGTGATGAGACTGATGATAAAATTAATCAGTGCATTCATGCTTACAAATATGTATTATTTAGTTAGTTTATGGATTATTATAGATATTTACTAATGTTTATATAGTTTTTTTGAATATGATGTTAATACGGAAAACATTTACGATAGGTAACTAGTCAGAAATACCTCTAAAACATCAATAACACTTTTTTCTGTTTTCAATTAAACAATAACTGTTTGTAACTTCATTAGAAATAAGAATAATAACCCTTTAAGAGGCTCATTAATTTCTCAAACATTTTATTTTCTATTGCTGAGGAATTGTTAAACATTATTTCGAAATAAATCTAAAATTATCGATCGTATCATAATTTCAGTTCATTCACATAAAAATACCAATTTTTTTAGTATTTTCAGTGATTACAATTAAGTTTCATGTACATTCACAACAAACATAAATAAAATTTTGCGGAAGATTGGTTTCGGGCAAACGAACGTGATTTATCATTCCCGTATAGATGATTCATTAATATCGTTAATTTCATATTTCATTGCATTATATTGGATAAGTATGGTTATTATACACCTAGATATCTGTATTATTGTACAATCTCCATTTTTTACCGATCAATCACAGCTCTCAAGTTACTCCTGCTCTAATGCCCTTCTGCAAGATTCACAACAATGGGTTACATAGTAAGGATAATGGCAAAGCCTCGCCTGCACTGCTACCCTACATTTATGTATTTTATCCACGCAGTACCCTAAAAAAATACAATTATTAATAGTTCATGAAGTTGGTAAATAAACTTACTATCCACTGGCTGGTCTTGCACAGGTTTATACTCTCCTCTGCTATCGGACTCGCAAGGACAAGACCTTTTTCCAGCCGGCGTTTCGTCTTCCGGACATCCGCCTTCAATCTCCCTACCGTACTGATCCAAGCATCTCAACTCTCTCCTTTGGACGCTGTTCGGACAGGCCCCTTCGCACTGCCTCCAATCGCCTATGAACCAACGCGCAGGACAAACTCCCTCGCAGGCTTGCTCTTCGGCGGGCTTCAGATGCCCCGGGCACGTTATATCGTTAGCAACGTGAGGCATACCGCGAATTTTAATCACGCAGAAAACCTCTCGCTTCTGCTTCGCCGTACCTTCGCACGTGTCCGAGCAAGAACTCCACGGACCTATCAACAAAATCATCACCATATAAATTTAACTGTGGATAATTTACGCACCAGTAAACCATTGCCCGTCGCAATGTTTGTCGCTGGAACAAGCCCTCGACAGTTCCGGTTTGGATTCCACCGAGCAGGCTTGCTTGTCCTTGTATCCGCATAGAGCAGAACGCGTTTGTATGCCGGTTCCGCAGGCTTCCGAGCACTGCGACCATTCGGTGGTCAACCAAGGCGAGAAAGCTCTAGTGCTGGTACTCGAACCAGTTTGGAAAGCCAGCGGTTTCAACGTGCAACTCTCCATGTCGCAGTACTCCGCGTGGGACGGTCGATCGTCCGGTTTGCACTTACCCGATGGGCAAGTCACCGTTCTGGTCCTGTGGCCGGTACCGCAAGAAACCGAGCACTGAAATCCCACCAAATAAGACAAGAGGAAATGATTAGATTCAAGTAGATAACTTACAGGAGACCAAGGTCCGGCGTGCCAATCGAGCCCGTCGCGTTGGTCGAACGACTGGGAGCGCGGCAGCTCGTTGTCGCTGGGATTCTCGCAGGAGGTCCCCACGCAGGGCTTCGGAGGACACGGGGCGGCGTTGCATCGAATGGGCGCCGGCGTCGGGGAGTGCAGATGGGCGCATCGCCGGTCCGGCACGGGGATCTTCGACGCGCCTATTTCTCTCGTGCAAGTTCTCACGTACGTTTGGAAACCTTCAATAATTCATTTATTAATTTTATTAATCAATAATCTGTCTGAAGAGGACAGCACACTGTCCAGCACTATCTATATACAGTAGCAAAGCCTGTAGAAGAACGGTTTTAGATCCAAGAACGTCGGAACTTCTAAGGTCTTTAGATCCTTTGAAGATCCTCTTACAGAGGAACTGACGATGTGCTACAGTTTGCGAATCGATGTTCAATCGATCGAAGTGTTTTTAGATCCAAGAGATCTAACTAAACACAACAAGAACGTTGGAACTTCTGAGGTCTTTAGATCCTTCAAAGATCCTCTTACAGAGGAACTGACGATGTGCTACAGTTTGCGAATCGATGTTCAATCGATCGAAGTGTTTTTTGATCCAAGAGATCTAACTAAACACAACAAGAACGTTGGAACTTCTGAGGTCTTTAGATCCTTCAAAGATCCTCTTACAGAGGAACTGACGATGTGGTACAGTTTGCGAATCGATGTTCAATCGATCGAAGTGTTTTTAGATCCAAGACATCTAACTAAACGCAACAAGATCGTTGGAACTTCTGAGGTCATTAGATCCTTCAAAGATCCTCTTACAGAGGAACTGACGATGTGCTAGAGTTTGCGTGTGCAGGAAGGTGAATAAATAACGCGCAACAAGTTCAGGAATCGATACAAACTCACCTCCTCCGCAGGATTTGGAGCAAGCGGTTAGTCCGGTGATTTTCCAGTGGAAGTGCTTCCTTCGCAGCCTGGTCCTTCTGATTCCCGGCACGGGCGGAGGTCGGGCTTCGTCTCTCTGGCTGAGGGAAGTGTTCAGCAGTAGGTCGGGTTGTTTCGATTCGAGTGCGATCGGTTCGTTATCTTTGCCGCTGCGTTTCATGAACGGCGGGGCGGCTTCCGATATCGGAAGGGAGTATCCGTATTTAATGCCGGGATTCGACTGGTAATTTACAATCTGCAACGGTTTGGAATGAAAGCGCTGATATTGCGGCGAATGAAGTCGATAATTTCGTACCATTATGTCTACGTTGTTGGCCAAAGGTCCCGGCGATGTGAGAGTTTCCAGGGAATTCTCGTCCTGGCGAATGTACACGAATTTCGTACCGGCTCCTTTGAATACACGGCTGTTGCTCATCTTCCAGTCTCCGTTGACGATGAATGAACCATTAGTATTCTTCAAAGCTGAAAATTAATTGTGTTTATTAATTTTATAACGCTAATTAGGTACAAACAGACATTCGTTCAATTCGCTAATTACAAAAAAAACACTTTACCTATGAAGTTTCTGGTGTGTTTGAGTTGTTGAACGAGAATCCTGCAGGCTCCCGCAGGAATTTGCGCGACGACCGAATAACCAGCCGGTAAATCCGGTCTCGTGTATATCCCGTTGACGCTCCTGCAGGAGCCCTTTATACACGCGGAGCATTCTTCCTGCTGTTGTTCGTCCAAACTGCCGATTACGCCTCTCGAATTCACCGCCTGCAACGTAAATAACCCGGAATTAGCAGGCGTGCGTTATGTAGATAAATCCAACGACAAGGAACAACATCAGGAAATTCAATAAAGGGAACACATTAAATTGTCTAGTAGATGATTAGATCTGAGGTACAAGTACCAAATTCTTAAGAATACCAAAGCTTATAATATTTATATGAAAAATAAATCCAATTTGTATGGGTGGTTAAGGTCCGAAATTCGGGAAGTCTTCGACATTTCACTTCATCGGAGGCATCTTAATGTAAATCTCCGGAATACAAGCGTAGTGGCCGTAACGTGATTAACTTTAATCGAAACTACGAAAAGGATGATAAAATAGAGATAAGCGACGGCTCGAGTTCCTACACGCCATAAACGGCGTTACGAGCGCCGATGAAAAAAACGCAAGAACATTCGATAGATTAAATGAAGAGTTAATAACGAGCAGGTTAGATCAACGCGACGATACGGCGAGAAGTGATGACATTTATATTAGCTATTTACAGGTAGATAATCTGTGTAAGTACAATTTCAGAGATTAAATTAAATTGTAGATGTTTGAACTATAAAGAAAAAAACGAATTATTGGCGCCGATTTTTCGCCAAGTCGGTCAAGGCGGATGTTTAGTGTCAACAAATTCCTTACGAGGTTCTAATTATCTTCGTCACGATCAATTTTACGCAATTATTATGCACTATTTCGTACAGATATAGCCGAACGATTCCGATGGGTATGGAACGGGGAAGCCCGGGCCGGCGTACCAACAATTTTTCACATAATATAACGTACGAAAGGTAATAATAATACGTTTAATATCCGCGATAACCTCCAGCTAGACCGTTCCGAATCTCCGGCGTGTCGGATCGCCGTCGAAATGGATTAATTTCGTCTGGATGAAAGCGTCGCGTTGGCACGCCGCCCTCAAATTAACGCCGGCATTTTATTATTTTCGCGTTTTTTTTATATCGAATAAGCGCAAAGAAATCGAGCGATCTGTTTATTATAATAAGCCAATTACCCGCTCTTTTGTCAAAGTTCACCCACCGCACACGAGGCGATTCGTTCGGCATTAATTTTATTTTAAATGAAGCGTCTAATTTGAATATTTCAAATACAACATTCTACACCTTCCGGGCGGCTTGTTTAATGGAGTGAAAACAAATATTTGAAGTTTCGGCAATCTCGAATAAAAATCTAATTATAAATTTATATGCGCGATACTAAAAAAAGCCGGTAAATGAGCCTATAAATCTTGATTATTCTGGTGGACCCGAATGCAATTCGATTTAAAAATTTAAAATAGACACTAAAAGGACAAAATCAAAATAGAATTCATCTTGTTTAATAAAATTCAAAAAATTTTACTTAACAAAACACATGCTAATATTATTTTTTAATCATATTATCTGTGGCAATAAATCAATAAATTTATTTTTCTCGACGTAAAAGCTAGTTATTACTTAATTTAATAAATTGAAAACTCATATGGCCAATGTAGCAAAAAATCCAACCTACATCAATCAACAAATAAATGTCTCTTCGACAGGTTTAATACAATTTCCTATAAAAAAGTGGCACTTTAACAACCCCGAAGGAGCTACCAGGTTCAGATTGCAAATTAATTTTTAATTAAAATTAACATTCGCCGTAACGGAGAAGCTGCGCTCTATACACATACTGCACGCCAACATTCTTAATTAGCTATGCATTTCGTATGGGCAAAAAGATCGGAGTAACGAGAATGTTTATAGTCGAATAAACGTAAACTATCTCGGCGCGTATAATAATTTTCTTCCAGTTAATGCACATTTTAGTTAACAAAGCGTTTCTCGAAATAATTCGATACTTGATTCGCTGGTGCGCTATCAATATTGTTAACGTAATAAAACATACTGCAATTAGATAATAATAATTGCATTAAATAACAAATGTGTGTGGCATGTGGCATTTCCGATGTATCGATTCTGTTTATTGATTTGCAGCGTGCAATAATCAATTCTGGATAAATAGAATTAGGACAGTATAACTGATCTACATTCGTCGTTTTGTGTTATCGTTTGTCGAGTCAATTTATAAATCTAAGTGTGAACAACCGTTATATTTATTCACGGGTTTAATAAATCTATCATGGTACGATAAAAGTGGCATTTGCGACGTTTTGCACCGGCAATTTCGAAAAAAGTAATTGTAAAAACAAACAAGTCCGATGTAACTCTTTGTAAATAAATTATATGATAATTAATTAAAAATTACAGCGTATAAACTTTCGAACGTTTGAAATTACACATAAACGCAAAGTAGAAGATTTTTTGAATAAAATTCACATAAAAAACCACTCGAATAGTAATTGCCCATTCGAAATCGATCAATTGAAATGCGCATCTAGGTACTTTCGTTCAAGATTCCATACAAACGTATAAGTAGCTGCAAGTGACAGTCAAACGACGATAAGATCTCCCATCAGAAGCTAAGCCGTCGACAGTTTAGTACAATTTACGTTACATAAAAAAATTAAATAACCGCCTGATGTTCTGCCTATTCTCGTCCAGGCAATTAGACATCAGTGCATCGATTTTAGATTCCTCCGGATTATAAGCTCGCTCGAATCGAATGTTTATTTTTATAAGGGATTTATAAAATACTCGAATCGCTTAGAGATTATCTAATAAATTAATAATTACACAAAGATTATTAAACAAATATAATTTGTGCTTGAGAAGATGGAGAGTCTAGTAACGTTGGGGAAAGTCTTTGCAGCAATACAGGGTGTTTTACAACTAATCCGACAAATTTTAACTACATATGCACTGTTACGAGAGAAGTTAATTTCCCAAAAAAAATGTAATAAAAGTCTTACAGAAATCGAGATTATAAAATAATAGTTTAACAGTTCAATTACTTATACAAGATGTTCAAAATTGTTCCCATTTACTGCAATGCAAGCTTGGGTGCTTGTTTTTTTGTTTTAACCATTGTTTTGGTGCAACATTTGTTACAGTAAAGTATTAAGGCAAAATTCTGAACGCAAAATGCAGTATTTATTTTTAAATTTTTTATTGAAACTCGGGTTTATAATTTTATTTCTGTAGGACTTTTATTACATTTTTTTTTTATTTCTCAAAGAGAGAGAAGTTGATTTCTCAAAAAAAATGTAATAAAAGTCCTACAGAAATAAAATTATAAACCCGAGTTTCAATAAAAAATTGAAAAATAAATACTGCATTTTGCGTTCATAATTTTGCCTTAATACTTTACTGTAACAAATGTTGCACCAAAACAATGGTTAAAACAAAAAAAACAAGCACCCAAGCTTGCATTGCAGTAAATGGGAACAATTTTGAACATCTTGTATAAGTAATTGAACTGTTAAACTATTATTTTATAATCTCGATTTCTGTAAGACTTTTATTACATTTTTTTTGGGAAATTAACTGCTATCGTAACAGTGCATATGTGGTTAAAATTTGTCGGATAAGTTGTGAAACACCCTGTATACCTAATATCAGTAAAAGGAGTATGTGCAATGGCATATAATGTCAAGAGGTATGTTGTAAGAAACTCCGTATGCAAACACTATTAGGGGAGTTTACCCGAAGTTCGAACCGAAAAGGGAAACACACACATGCATTCGGCCGAGTTTGTAACTTAAGAGCGACGAATTACACGCTCGCCATGGCGCGTTAAATTCACTTAATTTTGAAATAGTGTTCCGACGTTTGTGTTCGTGACTGCATTAAACATACATCTCGACTTTTAGCTCTCGAATGTTGCTTTGCAGATAAGTTTATCTTTGCAAACGATCATTGCTACGAAATAAAGCAAAAACTCCGCTAAAACTCGAATAATCTTTATAGAGGTATGCCGTATTCCTGGCGAACGCGTTCATGATTTAGTGCTCGTCGAAAATTTATGTAATCACTTTCGAAGCGAATCCGAATGAATAATATTTTTCCGTTATTATTTAGTATTGGCAGTTGTTGGTAATTTAAATATGTAATCACTTGATAAATTCGCCTCAAACTAAACCTATAAGTTTAGCAAATGCATTTGCGTTTAAAAGACTTTAATCATCTGACCTAGCCCATAATCTGGTATAAAGTATTACGATTTTGACATGGTAATCTTATATCATTATACGATTTAGTTGTATTATAAAGAGAGGGCAAAATTGCTGGTTTTTAAAAATTAGAAAATAGTTACTTTTCTTCTACATAAACTGGCTACAATAACATCAGTTATTAAATAATAGTATGAATATCAAGTTTCTTTACTCACTGTAGGAGTAGATAATATTACAATAAATAACCTGGGAAGCAAGATTTGATATCTTCAAGTATTAGATAATTAAAAATCATTTAAATAAAACATTTACTGCATCTCATTGCGATATGTGAAATTAATTGGAATAATTGGCACATTAATCATTATAAATTAGCACGTATTGAAAACGCTATTTTATCGAACGAGATATAAAGGCGGCAGCGAGACGATTTAATACGTTATTAAATAATGGTTATTATACATAATTCGGAATATTGTGAAAAGTTCATGCCTAATTTACTCGCAAGTCGGTTTAACATCGGATGGGTGTTCTGTCGGAATCTTTGATTACGGATAACGTCTTAATCAATTATCGAAAATGATGTGTAAGAACAGCTTTAACGGCATAATCGCTTTGTCGATCTACTCGACGAATACAAAGAGCGGACACGTTTAAAATATCCAAGTATTCTACTAAGATAGACCGTTATTATTCGTGTTTAAAATCGATTCTTTATTAAAATATTGATTCCGTGGTATTACCTGTGATTTGGTTTATTATACAAAACATTACAAATTTTGAATTTTTAGCAAGTTAACCAAGTACAGTAAATTGTAGAGTCGATATAAAAATTGAAACTTGAACATATGTTTCCATCAAAAACATAATTGACTGTGTAGGTACCTGTTGATATGATTAATCATTTAATATGACAACGCTTTCAATGTTAATTAATAAAGA